TTTTTCGTTACCCAACGAACATCTATGAAACTGTGCTTGATGAAACGGGTTTCACCCAGTTCGGTTCAGCTTTAAGCGGTAGGAAGTTCTAGTTCCACTGGCTTAGGCTGGATTCAACTCATCCCCTCAGGATGATAAGATCCGCGCTGGGGAATGGATCAGAAGCCACTTTCCACCCACCAAGTAGACATCTTAAAATTATCAAATGGACATTAAAAGTAGCATCTGTCAAATTGAGTATCCAAGTAGACATCTTTTTTATTCTTTTTTAAAACGACCTCCTGGTAGGCTATCCTGACATCAAAATGAGCCATTTTTAGGTGGCAACAACCATCTTCTCAGAAGCGACTTATTGGGACCATCCCACCATTGATTGGCGAGAGAAAACCTCCAACTCTTCAACAAATATTTGGCCATGGAAAATCACCATGCTATTCATAGGTAAACCATCTATAAATCTATGGGCCATGGCTTAACCATGGCAAACGGTAACAGTCATAACCAGAGGGTATTTGGTTCAGATTCTTTGAGATGTCCAATTTTTTGAAATACCCCCCTGGAGAAAAAAAAGATAGCGGCAAATGACCCATGTGTTATTCCCGTCAAAAGCTTCATGAGGCGGGAATTTCCCAGCCGTGTTTGATCACCCAAGGGTAACCTAAATTTCCAAGTAGGGTTGGTTAATGTTGGCTATAAATCCTATTACATCTCCATTAAATACCATTAAAACCCGTTAAATCCCCATGATATGCACATGAATTTTCATGAACTTTCAAACCGGATTCAATTTCATCCCTCTGCCGTCCCGGGCTTGTTCCAACGCTGTCAAGGAACAATAATGCAGGTCCTATGCCAGGCAACAACCTGATGTGCCACAAGGTTGATGTGGATATGAGAAGATATGGATATATGTGGATAATGTATGTATAATATGGACATCAGCCTTAAAATAATATGGATAAACAAATACTGGATATGATAGACTATATAATCTAGTGATCTCGGTGTTCAACTATTCATTTGTTCTACGCAGAGATGAGAGTAATAGCATATCATATACAAACATGTAGAAAATATCATTTCATATCTCCTTTCGTAGCATCAAAAGAGATGAAAGGCCCCTTGACTCATGCCATGAACCCATCATTTCCAGTTCGTCCCCAGTTCGTCCGGTTATCCCAGGTAGGGGTTCGAACAATGGTTCCCAACCACCACTTATTAGAACTGTAATATATCATAATGATTATACCATGATTGATTAGATTGATTAGAAGCAAAATGATCATAATGGTTCCTAATCCACTCATTTATCATCATGATTAAGAATTTCATTGATTCTACCCCTGTTTTTGTTTGGTTTTTTGTTTCAGCTCTTAAAAAGGTGCCCATGTTACCCATCAATCCTGGTCAGCATACAACCCCATTTGTGGTATTAAAAAAAACATCCACCAAAGACATTTCCCATGTTTAGTTATTGTACCACTCCACCCCATGTTATTCATACCGGAGTCATCATTGTTGGTGGGTCGTGGATAGTTTTTAGAGCAATCCAAATAATCCTAGTTGCACAATCCAAAACTTCCACAAAATATACGGTAATCCTCCGAAATCTACACTCCAAATGGTGAGGATTTCTAGGTGTTGTCCCAGGTTGGCTGGGACAACCCCACATCATCCCACATATCCCTCCCAATGTTCTTACCGTGTTTTATTTATATATATATATATGAGCATTGTTTGTTGATTAAACCTTCTAGGTAAACTGGGATATCAAAATGTGTCTGAATGCCCTGAATCCATTGGCTGATTTCACTTTCCGGGGTAACGTTCATGAAAAACAAGCCATGTTCAAACACAGCAAAATAATGAGTTGGACATCCGACTTTTCTACCTTAGTTCAATCCTGAGCTTGAAAAAAAAATTGAATCCCAATCGAAAGAGAAAAGACCAACTCCAAGTGACACATCCCCATCATAGTTGCAAACCCTGTGTCGTCCCTACCATGGATTATTCCCCAACATATTGCTTTTTGTATGCGTTAGATTCTATATCTTAGCCGAAAACAACCTATAACCCGAACTCATCAACCATCATTTATCAGTTTTATCAGTTAGATCCACTATATATCTGGTTGGTGGTTGACCTACCCCTCTGAAAAATATGAGTTCGTCAGTTGGGAGTATGACATTCCCAACTGAATGGAAAGTCATAAAATTCATGTTCCGAACCACCAACCAGATATCATGTATCATTATTCTTACGATTAATTAATATCATTATCATATTGTTTATCATTAAATATCATTATTATCATGTATCCATATTATCCAACCCATATATGTTGATGGATATAATCATCTATGATCATCTATAATTAATCATCTATAATCATCTATATACTGTTTGTAACTATTATTTAAAAATATATATATATATATCCATATATATGTTGATGGTTAAAAACTGTTAACAACAAAAACACATTGAATATCTTAAAATATCTTGATGGGTTCAAAAAAAAAAACAAACATCATCAACCATCAGTTATCAGATTTATATAGTTTTATCAGATAGATCCACTTAAAATATGCCATATATATTAACCATATATATGCCATATATATATATATTAACCATATATATGTATATGCCATATATTAACCATATTTAAAATTTACCCACTTAATATATGTTGATGGGTCAAAAAAAAGCATCATCAACCATCATTTATATACTGTTTGTAACTATTATTCAATATATATAGCTATATATATATATATATCCATATATATATGTTGATGGGTAAACAAAAAAACATTGACATCACGAAGTAGAAAATCAACCCAGCCGGCCTCAAGGGCGAGGCATTCGCCAGGCGTTTCCCCAGCGCTTGGATGCCGCCACGGCCCAGGCAATCGATGCCCTTCACGGTCCTGTTTGGCCAGAAATGGGGGGGGATTTTCCCATGGCTTTGGCCAGGAAAAGGTGGTCATATTCCATGGGAAAATGTCGGAAAATGTGGGAAAATGTGGGAAAAGATGATGTTAACCCGCAAGAATAGAGGATTTCACCAAGACTCAAGCTTTTCACAGGCCAAAATGGAGATGACCAGCAAGAGATTTCACCAGGAGACTTTTAAAGGCATTCATCAGCAAATTTATGAGATCTCAGCAGCAAGAATCTATAGAAATTGTCAACAATGGAAACGTGACACGAAGTTCAACACTAAACACGTGTATTTATGTGTATTTGCCCCTAAACATGTGCATCTCATCACTAAAGCTTGAGATTTGACGGCAGCGATTTGTCCAACATGGAAATGTCCACAATCATTTATCTATATATAATTATAATTAATTATATATAGTCTGTATACATGTATATACAGACTATTAATTATTAATGTCAACCCCGGATCAATAAACCATGGTTTATTAATTAGGGGGGTTACTCCTCCAATGCTCATAATCCAATACTTAAATGGTATCCGCCCAATTCAACAGTCGTGCTTACGAACGGGGTTTAGAAAAATCCAGGCTTGACCTTCGCCACCAACCTGGCCAAGGAGCTCTTCCACCAGGAATTCACCTCAATGCATCTGCGACAGGTGGTTTCATGGAATTGGATGATGGGAAAATTGACAGGAAAACCGTATATTTCATGGTAAAAACCATGGTTTCCGGTTAAGATTTTCCCAACAAAACCAATCCATTGATTGTTTTAAGCATCTTGAAAAATATGAGTTCGCCAGTTGGGAAGGATGACATCCCATATATGAAATGGAACCAAAAAACATGTTTGAAACCACCAATCAGCTATCAATCCGCGGAAGAAAGTGATTCGATAGTAGGCTAGTCATAAGTTATAGGTCATCGTAGCCATATAAATTCAATAAACCTAGAACTATATAAATCCGCATGCCACTTCCTAGTTGTTCCTCGTTGCTTCGAGTCATCTGGCGAAAAAAAAAAGTGCAGATAAAACCCGTGCTTCCGAGCCGCGGAAAAACCTTGGAACGGGCAGGATCCACGGCTTGGTTTAAAAAGGGACCCATGTTTTTTTCGGAATTCCCGAAAAAGTCAACTTGGAACCATCAACCATCAAAATATATCAAAATATAAAAATTGTAATCCCATCCCCTTCATATTTAACACTCCCATTTTGTGGTCCCAGTCAAATCCCCCACACCCACGATGGTTTCTCGGGGGATTTATCATGTTAGGGGGAAGGGATCAATCGATTTTAAGAAATTCACACCCAAAAAGATCGAAAAAATAAGGTCCTACCAAAATCGTGATTCGACTTAGAAAAAAAAGTACGATACATCTTCTTTACTATAGTATATATATATATATATATTTAGTACTATCCATTTTATATTAACTAGATGTTAATCCCTATAGTTTTTTCCCAAAAACTTTTCTTCAGGGCGAAAAAACTAGTGGTGGTAAACCGCCGTGGGGATGGTTCATGGCAGATGTCCCATAGTAACTAGCCACGATTACCTCACTACTATGGATGATTTATCCAGATCAATTGGGTAATTCGGTCATATATGACATTTATACTTATATTGTAGTTAGTTATCCTACATCAATCCATATTTGCACCTATTATCTCTATATATATATATAATTGTAAATTATATATATATATATTGTGAATATATACATGCATGTAACAGACTATTATCCACCGGAATGGTTTATGGCATCTTAGAGTTTGCCCCAATATTACGCTCTGGTAAACTAACAGTTCGCGAACTGGAAAATCACCATTTTGATAGCTGAATCATCAAACTAAATGGTCCATGGCTTCCATAGCTATGTTAGATTACCAGAGGGTACATATAATTATACACTATTCTCCATGATTTTTATCCGTCAGATTCATACAACCATAGATTAACCATCAGGTAATTATAATGAAGCATAGAGCTATTCCACTATTATCCCACTATTACCCCACTATTACATGATAATTATACACTATATATTCTCCTACATCAATCCATCAGATTCACCGATTTCGCCCAGCCACGCCCCATCCTCCGACAGCAGAAACGTCAGCGCCTCCCGCGCCCCGCCGTCGTTGGAAGACGTAGCGGCGGCCCAGCTGGTTGGGCGGTCGCCCACGCGTTCCGTGGACATCTGTGCCTGGGGTAAACCCATGGGGAACCCTTCCAAAAAAGAATTACAAATGGTAGGGGGTTCCACATCGAACTGTTAGTCTATAAGAGGGTTGCAGCAAAAAATGGTGACTTAATGATAAAAAATGTGGATTTAATGATTAAAGATAGTGACCTCAAGAATTAAAAAAGAGAGGATTTATCGATCAAACCTATTTCCAATGGTGGTCAAATCGAGTTGTAACCACTATGAACACTATAGAAAATGGTTCTTTAACCATAGGACACCATTGACCATTCCTTAATCAGCCTTTAACCAGCAAAAGTTTGGGATTTGACCAGCCCCAAAAAATAGAGGTCTCAGAAAAAAATAGACACACACACATGAAACAAAGACTCCTTACTAGATTTTGACGCTGATACTTTGAACTTCCTCTCTTTTTGGGGGGGAATTCTCCAACCCTGCCACCCTAGTGGCACCCACGACCCACCTGACGGACTTTGGTGTCTGTTCCCGCCATGTCTTGCACCAGTCCAGCACTGGCCTCCCACAAGCTCCACATGTCTTTTATTTTTGATGGGATAATTGGGATAATGATGGTAGTTACCCTCTGGTAAACTAACATAACTATGGAAAATCACCGTTTTTAATGGGAAAACTCACTATAAATTGCCATTTCAATGGCTATGTTAGTTTACCAGAGGGTAATCCTTAACCATCATTACCATTTGTTTAATGTGTATACGAGTACCTCCAATTTTTATATTTTTGGATGTAGTTTGATAGGGATAATGATGGTTAATGGCTCACTTTTTTAGGGGTCTCCTATTTTTAGACAAAGCCTGATGGCTTGGAAGCCTTGGATGGTGCCATATGGTGCCATGTAGCCATCCCTCGCCTCCGTTCGCGCGGCTTGCAAAATTTCATCTGCATCTGGCGCTCTCTCCTTAGGCTTTCAGGGCTTTCAGTGACTTGCCATGCTCAGCACCCAGGGATCAACGGGGCTCCAAATCACTGGACTGGCCATGCTGGTCACAGGGGGATCGTCGGACCTGAGATTTTCGTTCATGTTTGAAACCAGCCAGTGGTGACCCGAAACTGTTTCAGGTGCAGCAGCTAGTGGCACTTCTGAAAAAAGAGGCCCTTTCAGGAAAATCGCCCTAAATCTACGTGAAAATTTCACAGCCGAAGGTGGTGAAGGTGGAAACCACTAAGGTCGTGATGAGACTTCTGCCCATCACTGAGTCTTTCTTAGCTCCACTTTTTCAACATCGAATCCTGGGCGACTTACCATTCATTTCCTGGCCCGTACATTGACACATTGATTTCCTGGCCCGTACATTGACATAGGCTACATTGACATGGTTTTATAGTCCACCACTTAAGGGACATGTTCCTTGGGAAACGGTGGCTTGGAAAATTCGTCCACCTCTATGCAGCCGCTTTGGGTTGTAGCTTTGCTGAAGGGTAACCAATCCGGCTGTCCACCCACCTCCCGTTTGAATTTCTGCAAGACTCCGTGAGCCGGAAGGCCTGCCGGAATGAGTGAAGAACACATCAACCTTGTTTTCGAAACGCCACTTCTTGTTTGTTTGGCAACATCAAGTGCTTCTAGTTCTGAGTGAATATCAAGTGTCCTAATAAATCATAGATATGGCAGTGTGTCAAAACCAATAGTACCCCTGTAGTTCACATCAAAATAGCTGGGGTTTATGGATGTTCATCCCCCTAAAAATGGTATTAATAGGTATTGATCCATAGCCATATCATAGATAGCATAGAGAATCTATGAGACTCTTCGGCAAAAAAAAAACAGCCGGAATCTTCGCATCTGATCTACCAGCTGACCGAAGGCCCAGGGACGAGTCAAGGGTCCACCGTCCGTTTTGGCAGGTGGAAAATCCCAACAAAAAAAACCGAAAGCCGAAAAACCATTGGTTGATCCCCATTTCCATGAAAAAATCCGATATGTAATCTATATAATGGAAATGGGCATCAACCAATATTAATTAATGGAAATCTATATTATCATCTTTTTAAACTCCAAGTTTTGATCACCAGTCTTCAATTAAATTCCACAATTCGCATTTAAAAAAAAGAAATGGATGCGAAATCCCGACTGGTTTCACACCCTTCCTGCGCCCCCTTCCTCCCGCAACTCAGCCTCTAAGGCTCGCAGCAAGTCGATGAGACGATCTGCATCGAAGACGCCCTCCTTTCCGTAGACCATGTACCTGTGGGGCGGCACCTGATCCATGGATTTAAGCAGAAGAAAAATAGGGATTCTATGGGATTCTAATCTCAAACATATGGAAATCATCATGTGTCGGACTTTTCAATGGATTGGTTTTGTTGGGAAAATCTTCACCGAAACATACCGAAACCATGGCACCTTTACCACCAAATTGATTGGGTTTTCCTGCAGATTTGAACCAACTTAAGGAACTTAGGATGACTGAACTTAGAATTGATGACTTGATTTGTTTCTTGTGATTGCTGAACTTAGAATTGATGAATATTGATGATATCATATCATAGACATTGTACGACTTTATCATTGATGACTCAGCATCAAATGCATATCATTGCATATCACATGCATATCACAGTATATCACAGTACATCAGTATATCAGTATACCTACAGTTTTTCTCACTATGTCAACCAGTGGATTTTCAAAAAATCGCTTCACCACCCAGTATCTTCCAGTACCCTCTGGTAATTTAACGTAGCTATTGAAAATGGCCCAGTCGAAATAGTGGATTTTCCCATTAAAAAAAAAGGTGGATCTGTCCATAGCTACGTTAAATTACCAGAGGGTATCTTCCAGTATCTTCCAGTACCAGCCAGGATCCCGGAGCTTGCTCTTCGCGCCTCAAGGAGGTCCTCAAGCGATCTGAAGGATTGGTCAAAAGCCTCAGCGAAACCACGAAACCAGGGCCTATTCCAGGGCGAAACCCCAAGGTGACCTCTACGGTGGTCTTTAAGGCTCGTGATATTAAATACATTGGTGGATTACATATATATATATATATGTATGTATGTATATTATATATATATATGTATACATATATATATATGTATACATATATATATATCATATATATACATAATAGACTATTTAACATATATAATAGGTTCTGAGATTTAAGTAATAGGTTCAGAACCCCCAACTTTATACGTCAGGATCCACCAATATGATACACCACCCCCTCTTCTAAATAATAGTAGACATTCATTACGGTATTGGTAGATTGATCACGGCTGAATCTCCTGCAATATGTCTGTCCGACGTCGTGAATTTCAAGCAATTTCAGGCCTTTGTTTTGGGTCAAAATCTTTGATGGGTCAAAATATGATCCAATATCAACATGCAATATATGAGCCATTATCGAAGATAAGGTCTGATGGCATGGCTGAGAGATTTCTCCAAACACCAGCGAGATCTGCGTGACTATCTATACGTGACTGCAGACTACCAGCGACAAAAATCGTTGACCAGGTGCTGTTTGGAGAGGTAGGGATACGCCTGCGATGGATATCTCTGGATGGATTCCCAAAGTGTTGGATTTCTTCAACCGATCTTCCAACAAATCGAGAGAAAATGATGGATTTCTCCAAGAATCTGTAGAACTGTTCGGCTGCACCATTTATATACTTTCAGTGACATGTGGTGATTTATGGAACGGCGAGCGGCTCATTCCTCCATGGCCATCACTGGGGCCATCACTCTGTAGGAAAGCAACATCTGATCCTCCAAAATCTGGGTGATCATCCACTTCTGATTGAAGCAGGATGAACCACAGGTATATACCTGGTTTTAAACCTGAGAATTTCCCACCGGAAGTATTATCCCCCATAACATGCTTGGTCAAATTCCACTCAAGTTGTGTTTTTTGAATTATATCATAGAACATCGTATGTATAATGATTTATAGTTATTATATCCCATCATCATAATTACCCTCAAATCGGATGCATTAGAACCTCATTGTCCCCTATTTTCCCCACATAGCAATCTTCGGGGCTATCCCCATGTTTTCCCACGCGAGGTTTGCGCCTCATCGATGATGGCGAAGTCGGGGTCGCCCACCAAGGCGATTCCCTCCAAAACACCAATGGCGCGGATGATCAGTGCGAAGTAAGGCCTACTTGGGCTTCGCAAAACGATGGTTTTGGATAGGCATGGGGGCTGGCATGGTTGTAAGATATGAACCGGAATGGGGATCGTTTTTTCAGAATTCCGAACTATTGTAGATCAGAATTTTGTTGTAAACATATGAAAGTCTCCGATTTTTGAGGTGGATTTAATAATTCTGATCGATTCTTGCGAACGAAAACATGTGACTTTTTTGGGGGAGGAACCTTTTTTTGTAGTTATTATGACCAAGAGCCATGTCTATCAAGGAACATCAATCAAGAATCATGGTGAATCGTGGACCCCTTCAGAAGATGATTCTTAGTCGAACATCTAATTTCCCAGTTGATAGTTGATAGGCCGTCTTTAACGATCGCGAAAGGATTGGGAACCAATCAATAAAAGACCACTGTCAAATAGGGTACTCATTTCTTTCTTCATCACCTGAAGCCCAACTCAATGGTCCTCTCTTAGCATGGGTTTCATCTGGTGTCATTGGCATTTCTTGGAGATCTTTTCAAATCTTAGTAGACTTTCCGTTCAAAGATGAAGAAAACAAATAGCAAACAAAAGGTACCATATCCATCCATATCCTAAGTTCAACAAGTGACTTGGGCCTCTCTAGCTGATTTCGATATCATTGGTGTTTCATGTCCCACCCTCGCACATCGCTACGAGCTGCGGAATGCGGAAGGGGAACTCAAACCTGGGAGAGGCGACGGCGACTTAGGTGTGGCGGCAAGCTTGCGGCCACATTCTGCATGTTTTTGTTTGGATCTTCAGCCAAAATTTGAGCCATACTTAGGCCAAAAAGCCTAAAATCCACGACATGTCTGCGGACGTCAACCCAAATTTCGACAAGTCAAACCAGTCACCTCGATGTTCATGAAAAATCATTACCCTCTGGTAAACTAACGTAACTATATGGAAAATCACCATTTTTAATGGGTAAATCCACTATTTCTATGGCCATTTTCAATAGCTATGTTAGTTTACCAGAGGGTAAAACATGTCCTTCCAAAACCATCCAAAACCATCCCAAAGCACCCCCCAAAAACCCGTTCCGAGGTACGTGATCTGCGCCAAATCGGCCGAGAGCTCGTTGAAGTTGATGCCTCTGGCCTTGGGGTCGGTGACCAGGGGAAGGGTCTGGATTCACCTTTTTTTATATATAATCATGGCAAAATGGGGTTTTTAAGCAGCGAAAATTTGGGATTTATATATTTTAGTATATTTTATATGGGATTTACAATTCATAGTTCGTAAGTTGGTTGATTTCAGGATATTTCAGGATGATATTTGGCTGCTGTTGATGGCTGTTGGGTTTATGCTAGATATTTCAAACATGTTCAAACCATAGTTATTATATAATGGGGTTTATCAAACAACAAGCATAACTGGGGGCACCACGTAACGTCCAGGTAGGAGGCATCCAGTGCTGTCTTCTGGCACTGGAATGATGATACATGATGATACATGTCCACTTCATGCATATTTTTTGTAAATACTGTTTCCAAATGTTTCCAATGTGGCAAAGCCCAAAAAGTTATCCATCTCAAATATGACCGTTTCAACATTGCTTGTAAAAAGAATCCCATTTCATGGTGTAATTGTTGAGTACTTGGAAGGATCATCCCACTTTTAAAACCCATCTGGTTATGACTGTCACAGTTCGCCCTGGAAAGATCCACCATGCTATTCACTTCGGTAAACCATCTATAAATCGATTTGGGCCATCGAAAAACCATGGCTATGTAAGAGTCATAACCAGAGGGTAGTTCGTAAGCCTAGGTAGGTCCCCTCTGCTGCCAAGATTCACCACCACCTGTCATCGGTCACTGCTGTCCCCAGCAATCACTGTCCGCTGATAAGTCCCATGCGTGCCTTCATGGTTGGATTACAAAAATTAAACACAAATCTAATAGGATAAGAATTGATGATATTTTAACATCTACAAATTTGTAGATACTAGTAATACTAGTATGATAGCTGTCTGATAACTACTCTCACATTCACATACGCTGCAAATAGAATAATGTGTTTTGATGCATCACATTTTTCAATATTGTCTTCGCAGCTCAAAACCAACACATAAATTCATCGATCACCGCGGTGTACGCAGTGCTTTACCAAGGGTTGGCTGGATCAAAGGATATGGGCCATCCCCAACAACGGCCATCTGGCGTACCGAGACGTTCGATCCATAACATTAATATAACCGATTACTGATTGGTGGTGCAATAACCATCTTGAAAAATATGAGTTCGTCAATGGGAAGGATTATCCCATATATGAAATGGAAAATAAAACATGTCTGAAACCACCAACCAGATTATGTTTGCCAGGGTTCAATGATCTTTTGGCTGGAGAAAAAAACAGGTCGGACATGTGTGGGGACTTCGCCGCCAGTGGGGATGAGGGGTGAAAAGCATTGAAAAATCGATGGCTTTGTCTGAAACTTTAGGCGAAAACACCAACATCCCACGGGTTTTTAAAACATTTTAAAACCTCATTCAGCCATCCTTGGGACATGTACCAAGCCAAACTTGTTAGGACATTAACGCCAGTGTTCATGTCTAAAAAAGAAAACACTATGGATCCAGCCGTACCTTCTAACAGATTTTTTGGCCCGTTTCACAGTTCGGATTTGCAGGAGTCATCCCCCCGAAGACGGTCCTATACTTGGGTGTCCCAGTGTCCATATACCATAAACGCCACTTAATCTATATTGTAGCAAAAAATAAGCGAAAACCTACACATGTATGAAGCCACTTTATCATAAAATCATCCATCTCCACTGCTTGATTATCCTCTGGTTAACATAGCTATTGAAAATAACCCATTTATGGTTGATTTACCCATTGTTTAAATGGTGATATTCCATAGTTATGTAAACGTTTACCAGAGGGTAAACATCATCAAATCCCATTAATCACCATTTATGATCATACAATTAAACTATTAAACATGGATAAATGACCACTAATAGTGGTTAATCCTATTAAACATCATACTAAAAACCACTATTGACCTATTGACCACAATAAAAACCACTATAAAAACCACTATCCATCTCCCCAGGTTGATGAAAAGCATCATCAAATATTGGGCATTAATCATCGTTGATTAAACATATAAATCACCACTATAAAGACCACTATTAATCACTATTAATCACTATTAATCACTATTAATCACTATTAATCACTATTAACCACTATTAACCATTTGATTTCCCACTATAAATCACTATTTCATCACCAAATCCCATGGGAAATCCTGGTTTCATCCCCTCCGACGGTAGGATGTCCCACCTGCCAGCGCCGCATCGAAGACGCGCGACAGCGCCGGCACGATGGGTTTCACGTCCACGCCTCAATAAGATGACCGACCGCCGGTGAAAATATAGGAAAATCATCTATAAAAATAGGAAAATCATCTATAAAAATAGGAAAATCATCTATAAAAATAGGAAAATCATCTATAAAAATAGGACAATCATCTATAAAAATAGGACAATCATCTATAAAAATAGGAAAATCATCTATAAAAATAGGAAAATCATCTATAAAAATAGGAAAATCATCTATAAAAATAGGAAAATCATCTATAAAAATAGGAAAATCATCTATAAAAATAGGAAAATCATCTATAAAAATAGGACAATCATCTATAAAAATAGGAAAATAGCAGAAAATACAGGAGAAAATATAGGAACAAATAGCAAAATCCCGGCACTAAATGGAAATTTGTGGAGGAAATTCATGGAACTAAATGGTGGATGTTTCCTATGGTTAAAGCGGAAATGAATATGAAATGATGATAATGTGAACGATTTGAACATTGGGGGTTTATTAAAATCATGAATATAGTAGAATTTTGTCATGATTGGATAGCTGTAAACTAATGACAGTCATGATCATGTGTCCATTAATCATTGGAAGACACATTGAATAATTAACAAGTAATATTAGTAATGTATGCTTATATATCTATATATTATATCATTATATATCTACAACGGGAATAATATAGACAAGGTTGGTGTCCCGTGCTTCTAATTTTCACAAGCCTTCAGTCTTGGGCTGTGACGTTGCAACGTTGTAACATATAAAATGACTGCTTCTTGGCCATGCAGATTTCTCGGCAGGAAACGGACAGATTCCAGTGGAATCGAACAGAGTTCGCTGGGCAGGTCAAGATTGCTTTTAACTGGCACAGTCTCTAAAAGACGAACCGCAGGAAGGGTATTTTTTTTCTTCAAAAACCAGCAGCCTTCACTCCAGTTTTCGGGATGACTACGGAATTGGTGCATATTGAATCGCTGGAATATTCAACACATTGTTGCTCGAGGCAGGATCAAAAAATGAAAAAACATCGGCATGGAAATTGAACATGAGAAACCAGAAACTGGGCAGATTTGAGGTAAAACATGGTTAAACATGGTAAAACTATCGAACATATCTATACATATCTTGGGTGTCTGTGTCTCCCCATCCGCCAGTGTTTCACCAGTGTTTCACAGCGACCTTCTGGGATAAAGTCCAACTTCTGGAAATCTCCGCCTCAGCGATGGTGATTTCCCTCCCAAACATCAATATTCTAATTCATCGCCATCTGATCTAGTGTCATGTCTTTCTGATGAAAGATCCATAGTTATGTTAGTTTACCAGAGGCTAGATGGGGGAATCATGATGGAAAATCAATGGTGAATAATGGTGAATACATTTCTTCTTGATATTTTTTGTCACTTGTGATCCTGTTCTCCTGTTTCAAGCCCTATATACACGTTTTTTTCGGCGTTTTCCACCCGCTAAAAACCCCTCCCGGGTGACCCCCGGACAAATCGCACAACGCCAAATCGCCGATCTCGGCGTAGTCGCGGTGCACCAAATGGGAGATGGCTTCCACCATGCCGTAGCGCTGGTCGTCCTGACGGAGACGAATCAGGGGAGGGCATGGCGATGTCATGAGAATTCCCATAGGGGATTTTTCATATGCTGATTGAGTGGGATATAATATGATATAAATTGATATAATCAATGGGAATTTCAGGATCCTAAAATGGAGGTACTGTACCATATAAGACCATATTTTCTGGGGATATTCACTTACATAGGCCTTATATAGGCCTTATATATGGTAGGTACCTCCATTTTTTTGGATCCTGGAATTGCCATTGATATAATGGGATTTCATTGTGATAGAATGGGATACAGCATGATACTACAGCTACTTGGGCAGTTTAGAGATTACGTATGATAACATGATGATAACCATGATGATAACCATGGATCCTATGGGTACCTCGGGTTGGTGAATTTGGAGCCTATAGGCAGATTGCTCAATAGACGATTTAAAAAAATCTGATCCAATTTGGCCCTTGCCAGGCGTCCGGAGAATTCCCCCCAATCCCAAGAAATGAACAGATCACACAGGGATATCAATGTGGGATATAAATTGTTTTTAGACACTCGAAAATGGAAGTGACCTATCAGAAGTTTGGGGATATAAATATGGAGACGTGAAATATCTAAGTCTGATTCTTCCTTTGGATCCCATCGACGCCGAATTTCCACACATTCTTAACTACACATTCGGGGGGGATATAACCAGTTGACAAATGGGGATAACAACTATCAATAATGTGGTAGGCGGGTTCCTAAGTTATTGAGGACCACAAGTTATGTATCTTCGTACTTGGAGTGCAGTTCCAGTGAATTTATTGGATATAATTGGATATATATATATAATGAATTATAATATATACATAACCCGTCATGGTCCCAACTTACTTTTGGGCCGTTAAAATGCCATAGTTACCATTTTTCTTGGGGATTTCCCACTGCCACATTTTGATTGCCATCTGGTTATGACTGTCACAGGGCAGTTCGCCATGGTATAGACAGATGGCCCTAATCGAAATAGATGGCTTACCGAACTTAATAGCATGGTGATGTTCATGGAAAATCCCAAAAATAAATGGAGCTTTCGTTCGCTGGGAAAATCGAATCTATTTATATCTATTTCGATTAGGGCCATCTGTCTATACCATGGCGAACGCCCTGTTAGTCATAACCAGAGGCTAGGTATATTTTCATAGAGGCTATACATATATAGCACCCCCATCATGACGCCATGACGCCATGACTCATCACGGCACCAAGTTGCAGTGATGCTGGTCATCAAGCCAAAGTCCAGGATAGCCAGCCTGATGCGGTGCTGTTCTGTTGAGACAACTTACCCATGAAAACATATAGTTCTTCAGGATACACTTATATTATCTTATATTCAGAATATTCATGGAGCATATCCAGAATTATCCAGATCATCTCTCCATTTTTAGCATGATATGGCTATGGATCAATACCTATGAAAATACCATTTTTAGGGGAATGAACATCCATAAATCCCAGCTATTTTGATGTGAACTACAGGGGTACAAGGTTTTGACACACTGCCATATTAACATGGGGAAAAGGTAGCTAGGTTACCTACCAGGGTGTTTTTACACCCAAAAACTTCCGCTGACAAACATCGCCTCCCATCGGGGGTGCGGAGCATGTTGCCAGGGTGCGGGTCGGCATGAAAGAGCCCCTGGCGGCCGTGGCGTCGCGGCGATTCTTGTGCCGTGGGTGGTGGTGGAAAGCTGCAACATCGCAATGGGTACCCTCTGGTAAACATACAAAAAACTATGGAAAATCACCATTTTTGATGGGAAAACTCACTATAAATGGCCATTTTCAATAGCTATATATGTTAAATTACCAGAGGGTAGATCAAGGCCAGTTGAAAAATATGACAGTCATTGGCTTTGGGGATGCAAACAGACATACGGTGGATGTTTACCACCTATGAACTGGTGCGGGATTTCGCAACCATCCACAGTAGGTAGACAACATGGTAAAAATCAAAAACCAGCTTTAGTGAATAGGTTTCATTCATGCATGGAGTGGCATCAAACTATGCATTCCAGCAAATTTGTGGGGGGATGAACATCAATTCACAGTACCAACTATAAATTGTTCACCAGGGGTACGGGGTTTTGACACATCTCCACATCTGAAAGGTGGAAACCATTGGACAGGGATGCACCTTGTCCAGCAACTGAGTGAGATAGGCCACCACACCCACCTGTGGTTTTCTGGTGTATCAAAATTTCAACGCCCTCATCTCAAGATTGTGAAGCTGAACTTCGGAATTGATGACTCTGTCTGGTCCCCATATTTCTTCAATTATGTTATCTATACCGAAGTATTGTGCGTTTTACGGTATTCCCATCAGCCACCCAAATGTTTTTCTTCGGAAGGCGCTTGTTGAGATCTTGATCCACTTCATCCACTTCCAATAAAGCACGACGATAGTCAAATTGAATTGACACCTCCTTTTTTAATTCTTGTTGCAAGAGAAATACCACATCGCCAGCATTTTTCACCAACTGTAAGGGCCTATGTTAGTTGGTTTGATTCACTTCATGAACTAGTTCCACCTATCATATATCTACCAGAAATCCAGCAGATATGAGCTATATAAACCAGCTATGTTGACAACATATTCACCAGGTTCTCGCCATTTTTCACCATGTTTTTACCATGTCTCCCCTACCAGTCGTCTTCCCCGCCCCTACCAGCCCCGCAGGTCCCCCCAAACTCCGTTATACTCCGTTTCGCCAAGGGGCGTTCACCAGCTCGCGGACGTCACCAGCCTGATCTAAGGCGAGTACAGAGGAAAAAACTAAGGACAACTATGGACATCAATGTGGAAAACTCTTAATGGACAAATCTGAATGGAAAACTTTTGATGGAAAAATCTGAATGGAAAACTGTTGATGGAAAACTGTTGATGGAAAAATACGGAAAACGCCATGGATCTTAAGATATTTTGGAAATATCTCGGAAATTATGTGTTTTGACTATATAATCCTGTCCACCGTTCATATTAAACACCCCCCAGAAACCATTGTGATTTACATTCATTTGGGACCATTCGTGCTTTACCCTAAATGGATGAGAATACAATAGACAATTTTATATGGAAAAATGAAGGAACAAGTGTTTGAAACACTCTGGATTTCGAAATATCTAAGGGAGAGGGACAAATCTAGGAAATATGTATATATATATACATGGGAAAACTATATGGAAAACTGCTATGCTGCAGAAGTATGGAAAAAAAAAACTATAAAGTCAAATATTCATCAAGGGACATAGAAAAGCTCGTATAGTATGGAACACCGTGATGGAAATCAAGATGGTGACTGTGTAACGATCGTATGACAGCGGCCTGCGACTGTGACAGCTTCTCACCTTCGACCCACTCCGCAACGTGCACCTGACACTGATGTGGAGGTTTCCATAAATGGGGTACCCCACTATGGTTGGTTTATAATGGAAAATCCTAAAATTGGTGACTTGGGGGTACCCCCATGACTTGTTGGAAACCTCCATGTGGATCCAAGACCATTTGTGCCCATAGACTCAGAAAACGCGAAAACGCCAACGCCGACCTTTCTGCAGCAGTACTCCGCGAAGTTCTTGGGGATCTTGACCTTGGGATTTTCACCCTGCGATTGTGCCCCCAAGAAGCACCAGTTACTGGTGACCTAACTGGTCATTCTTATCATTAGGAGAAACTGATCATCAAAGGTGGGGTACCAGCAGTTATGTGACTGTTGTTTTAGATTCACCAACATCATCTATACATCAGGAGATATCTCAGAAGATATCTATAGATATCTCACAAACCATAACTTCACAATCAGTTACCATCTGGTTATGACTAACAGTTCGCCATGGAAGCCATGGCCCATAGAAATAGATGCTTTACCGAACTTAAAAATGGTGGATCTTTCCATGGCAAACTGTGAATGTCATAACCAGATGGTACCCTCTGGTAAACGTTTACATAACTATGGAAAGATCCACCATGCTATTAATGGGAAAACTCACTATAGATTGCCATTTTCAATAGCTATGTTAGTCATAACCAGAGGGTAGGGGGATCACAATGACCCCAGCGGCTCGTTCCAGGTGAGCCATGTGCTGCTCCACCAACAGACCATTGGCGCATTCCTGGCGATGAAGTTCCCGAACCTCGCCCTATGGAAACCATAGGGGAAATATCACTTGAACATAGTTGAGCCATAGGAAAATGATGGAAAATGTCCCAAAAACCCAACCAACATGGGGATTTCCATTGCATTTTTCGAGCTGATGATAGCGAAGTTGACGCACATCATTAACTTGCTGAACTTTTGGATTGATTAGGGGGAAATATAGCGATAGTTAAAGATGTTTATAAAGCAACAAACATCACTGGAGGGGGCCCCACCTTGTAGAAAATGCTGGTGTGTTGGTTTCTACTGCTGATATCGTCAAAACAGACGTGCTGCCTTCCACTGCTGAACTAAACCAAGAACCGCACATGACCGAAGAGATTTCCACCAACAACAGACATGGAATTTCAATGCATGATTAGTTCTGCTACCAATAGTTACTAACCAATTGTGTTAGCATGTATTCCTATTTCACAGTTATCTAATTACCAATAGTTCCACCAATTTTGGCTGTGCGTCTATTTCCAATTTCAAGAAACGCCCCTTTCCGTCATGGACGCCAGCACCTCTGAATGAAAAGTGTGTGAATCATCCCTCAATTTTTCTTCATTGCAATCCCTTTCCTCTTCAAATGTCAATCAATAAGCCCCAGCCCCAAACAAAATCATGACTTAGGATTGGATCATCTTGGATGTTGGTTTCTTTTGGGATCCAACATAAGACAATCACAATCAAGTATCTAAGTATAGTATATATTAGTGTATCATATATACTGGATGGTGGTTTTAACCATCTTGAAACATATGAAAGTCAATGGGAAAGATGACATCTCATATGTTATGGAAATAAAATTCAGGTTTGAAACCACCAACCAGTATATATTTCATGATGAACCCTTTAAAAGGCCCCATATTTAGCGAAAAGGGGGATGGGAACTGGATCACCTTGTTGTAGTCCAACTCTTCGTAAATCCTCGCAGCAAATTCATCGAGCAAAGATACCTCAGTCCCAAAGCAAGTCTGCTGAAATATGACCTGCACAAGTTTGAAGAAATTGATATCTATATGAATATGATCATTATATATGATAATATATATATATGTTATATAAAAATATATATGTTATATATATAATTATATTCTATAATATATATATGTGATTATATACAAAACCATCCACAATGATGAATCCAGCAGTATCAGTGAACTGCTTCTGTCCAACCAGCAACGTGCTCCACAGGACAAGCAACGAAATCGGTGCGTCGGGAGTCTCGCAAACCCACGTCTTGCAGCCATTGTGTGAACCTAGCGACGGGCCAACCAACAACGGAGTGATGTGGGATCACCTCCAGTTGAGATGGGGATTCGTCAAGAAATCAAGGCCCTCCAAAATGGACGCTTCAGTACTTTTGCCAGCTGGTATTCCAATGTTGACACTTACCCATGTACAGTTCAGTCAAGAAAAATGATGGAAAAAAAAGCACCTTCATCAAGGACACCGACGATTTGGATCAAAGTATTTTCCAGTAAGCTTCCCTGACTACAAGTGCAAACTTCCAAAATCTAATGTGGTAAATCCAATCAGAAACCATCCCCACTACCAGAAATGTGCTACCAAATCATCCCCAATGGTTTATGGTAGATGTATTGAAACCAACAAGATTTCGCTGCTGGGAATTGCTGGTTTCATCAGCGAAATGGGAGCCTACAAGCGCATCACACGTATGTTGCGTATGTTGCACAATCCTCCAGGTATCTCAAGGTAAGTTCAACTCACTTTGGAATACATATATGACATACTGTGGATGGAAGAAATCCTGCACCAGTTGATAGGTGGTTTATCCCATTATTTATGGGGTTTCAACCATCCATGGTGGTGCAGGATTGTTTCCATCCACAGTATCCTTTGATATTCATATCTCACATAACATAACAGAATATTAAAAAACAATGACCAAGTCAAAATTCCTGGCTTCTTCGGTTCTTCGATTCTTTACTTCTTCGCTTACCACAAACACTGTCTTGAGACGTGCAGCTTCGCGAGCTTCCGAATGAGGTACAGGTCCAAGGACACCGTCTCCTCAGTGATTTCAGATGGATCCCCTGTGGTTCTTAAGGTTGAAATTCCCCCGTGGTGGGGGGTTATGGAAAACCCTATTCGAATGGATGAAAAATGGGGTACCCCCAAATTAAGAAACCTCCATATATGTGTGAAGGTGAAAATTCATGGAGTCGAATTTCGATATGTTTCATGGCTTTTAGGGGAATAAAATTTGGGATATGATGCGATCTTGGTGAATGATTCTGTGATTGTACCCCGTCATCCAAACTAATGTGAATAGGTAAAATGGGACTAGCCTATCATCCAATTTGTGTTTATTCAAAAATAGGGTGCCCCACTCTATCCAACGGCTTGTTATCATTGGAACTATCAAACTGGTAAAACTATCTTGCAGTATATCATATACATTGCCAACCATAAGATACATTGCAAAATAAGTGAACATGTGGCAGGGTATATTGATCTTCCCCCTATTGTGGCAACAGAGTATGTCGTACTAAAGTTCCCTTCGCCAAGGTGTACCAGTATCGTCCTCGTTTCTGAAGGGGACTTCCGGACTTCCTTATAAAAACTTCTTCCCACTTCCAAGACTGCTGTTAAATCCCCTATAATCTGGTTAAAATCCTAATGTTTGCTGGTTAAATCCCTCTGAATGATAGATTTCGGGTGGCGAATTCTGCATGTTTGCTGGGTCCAATTTTTTGCTGGTGAAATCCCCAGTGCTGGCAAATCATGTAATTTTCACCGATAAAAATATCGTTTGCACTTCCAAGATTGGTGTTGAATCAGTTAAATCCGATTTTGAATGCTTTTGTCACCTTGTCACCTGGGATTTGCTGGGTAAATCTCCATTTTTGCTCCACAAATCTCGGTCTTTTCCCACTTTTTCTGGCCCCAGAAACTCTGCGTTCCAAGTGCCAAGTTTCCAGCACAGCAGGGCGCTGCACCTTGACCGCCACCACTTCGCCTCAGGCTCCAGACCAATCTTTGGAAGTCTATCATCTTCTGGTTGGCTGGTGATTTTTCGGCAAAAAACTCAACTGGTTGGTGGTGTACCTACCCCTCTGAAAAATATGAGTTCGTCAGTTGGGATGATAAAAATAAAATTCATGTTCCAAACCACCAAGCAGTAAAGGACTAGATTGCTTCTCCAAGCTTGGGGATGAAAAAAAAGGACCAGTCTTCCATCATGATGATATCCGGGTATGAAATATTATCTGGCTGTATGATGTTGTATTGGTAATGTATTGGAAATATTAAATACCAACATACTACCTCAAAAACTGTTCTTAAATAGTTTAAAGACAGATTCCCATCATGGGTGTCGATGCTGGACCACTCTGGTGTCATCATGATGCAATGGTCCGGCAAAATGTGCTAGCCACAGATTGGACGTGTCTCGGCTGTATGTCTTTTACCCAGCCCAGTGCAACTTGGATGATTTACAGGACTTGTGTTCAAAATCACACAACAAAACATGTATGGGTCATATCTTGGCCTTACCAAAGAAACAGTGATAATTGGAGATCAGTTGGTTGTTGCCAAACTCAATGATCTCTATGTGTGCAGTAGATCCACCACCCTTTCAGCCGTGCCTGCGGGTTCCTTCAGCACAGCGCGGTACACCTCGCGGGTCACACAGCGGAAGACCAAGCCGTAAAACCCATTTGCAATGAGCTGCATGGCACCATTACTGGTTGGTGGTTTCAACCCCTCTGAAAAATATTGGTCAGTTGGGATTATTATTCCCAATATATGGAAACATAAAAAAATGTTCCAAACCACCAACCAGCTATATCTGACGCACTTCTTTGAATCATTCAATAAAGTAAAGCTACAATAACAAGTCAACGAAATATGGGTGTGTCTGAAAATAGTGTACCCCTTTTTACCCAATGGTTTTGCTGATCATTATCCCGTTTTTAAATGGCTATTTCATTGGGAATATACCCAACATTTTCAGACAAACCCATATCTGTAGGAACATCTTAGATAGCATCTTGAAGCATCTTATCGAACATAAAGACATGCGACATGCCACCCATGACACCGTCCACAGTCAGCGACCATTTGACCTGTCCCAATGAAGCCGCGGCGACAGGTGCTGGGGTGATCTCAGAAAACCTCAGGGTGCAGCGGGTTCTGAGGAGGTACCCTCCAGTAAACATACAAAAAACTATTGAAAATGGCCATTTATACTTGATTTACCCATTAAAAATGATGATTTTCAATAGCTATGTTAGTTTACCAGAGGGTATGGGTCAATACTACAAGCAGTTGCTGGCTTTCAACATGTTTCAACATGTTGAAAAATTCCTCTGGAACATATGTTTCAACATCTGTATTTTTGATCATCTTCCCAAATTCCCAAAGAGGGTTGAAAATCGAAGATGATTGAAACCACCAACCGGAATGTGTTGGTGGAGTCGGAATCACTCATTGTCCGAAGGATTGGAGTGATTGGAGTAGTTGTGACCCGTTCTTCAGCCACAATCAGCCGGACAAACTCCCCATCATTGAGACCTGTTCAAGTGCAAGACCTCAACAATCCAAAAAAATGTTCTGATTTGATACGAAATCGATGGTTTTAGAGGGTTGAGGATGTTTTGATATGTTTGAAATCTATGGTCTTTAGGCGGATGTTTTGAATCTACTGTGTTTTTGGATATTTAGGGGTCAATGTTTTTGTTCGCCAACGTACATAAATCTGGCATCCGTGCACGACCTCCATCCGTCAATTTCAGCTGGTGAAATCACTATTTCTGTGGGTCTCAGTTTTCCTTGGACATTTTTCAGGGATCTGGGATATTCTGGGATATAACTCACCAAACGCTGCATCCGATCATCCCCCAATTTTGCTTGGTTAAGTCCCCATTCTGGTCAAAACTCCTTCAGCCCAAGCTGTGGAAAAATGAATTTGCAAGGGAACAATCAAAATTTGCGGTGTGTTTTAATCGTTAGGTGGTCTTTAAGATCCCCTTTGCTTATCTAAAAGTACTTAAGTAAATAGTTTTCCCATGTCCTTTCATCCTTTCCCGTTGAAAAATAAATCGCTATCAATGTCTTAGATGATGTTGTCACAGTTTTCCATTGCAAAAATGACTTCTTTTCCCACAATTTCATAGAAATTCCATCCAAAACTGGAGGAGTTGCCCACATTTTCCCACATGTTCCCACATTTTCCCACCATTTTCCCACATTTTCCCACCATTTCCCCATGAAAAACGGGCCGAAACCCACGGGTTTCGTCCCAGGTCCCAGGCCACCTCTGGCCGAGCCGCACGTCCTCCTTCCTGACCGGCCGTCCGAACTTCTCGGAGAACTCGTCCTCCAGCGTCGCCATGGCGATGTCCGTGGAGTAGGAGGGCACCTTTCGATGGGGATGGGATCAGAATGGTTATAAATATGCTATTAATGGGATGAAATCAATCCTACAACTGGGTTTCAGTTCACCAGTTATAACTGGCTATAACCCATGACGGATCCATGGTGCTGCCATAGTAACATGGATCCCATCAATATACCCCAGTCATGTTAGCATACCAGCACCATGGATCCGTCATGGGTAATGGTAATATGCTATGAAAAAATCATGGGATTATGATATCTGATAATGACAATTATGCGATTATTATCAGGGATTTTTTATGGTAGGAATCATTACAACCTGGTTATGACTAACAGTTCGCCATGGTATAGATGGCCCATAGAAATAGATGGCTGACCTATTGATAGCATGGTGATTTTTCATGGCGAACTGTTAAATAACCAGATGGTAAGGCATTTTGCTATGTACAATGCACTGGGGTTGGTCTTATTGTTTATCCGAAACATGAAGAATGTGAGATTCACCCAATTGCGTAAACCTCGAATTGGGGATGGCTATTTAGGACCTATTTCTGGTAGGTCATTGGGGACAGTTTAGATTATTGGGTTTATATAACATTACATAACATATTAATATATTAACATATTATGTATAAAAGACCCACTATCATAGTAGCAGTATCAGGAACTTGGAAATCTCGAACTTAACGCATTTCCGCCAATGCAACCAATCTGGGAAGGAACAAACATTCAAAGGTGTTCAAAGTGCCCCTTTTTCACTCAGCAGCAGACTCGCCGCTCAACTGTCGAATGTCCCCTCTAAAGCCAAACAAGGGCGGCGGAGCTTTGCATCTTGTGTGTAAGGTCTGCGTCCAATATTACAAAAGCGGCTGTTTTGCAGGCAAATGTCGTGAAAGACAAGCCAGCACTAGGACCGAAAAAATGTTGCACTAGGCCTGGCGCAGCCAATATCAATATAGCATAAACCCAAGCACCTTGTATCACCTTATCTGCCACAGGCTCCGGAAACATGTGTTTTTGTATGTCGAAACCCTTGCAAAAGGTGACTTGAAGCCATCGCTGGCAATTTGCACCTGTGATGTCATATTTCTTGCCATTGTAAGGATTGGTTTTGCAAAGCCAAAAAAGTTCCGCAGGCGATGTCTCTACCTTCAATGGTTGGTGTTCCAAAGGCGCATACTCATGTTTATTGCAGAAGTCCGTAAACCCATCTTGGCGCTGGAACATGGGGCGAATCTTCCCAAACCTACTGCCATTGTGTAGTTCAATGGCTGTCAACTCACATGAGAAGCATTGCCCATCTTTAAACTCTACAAATGCAGCCCAGTGGTTTAGCCAGTTGCCGTTGGAGGCAACTACACGCACGCGGGCAACCTGAAGCGGTGTCTGTTGTTCGACAACATGACTCTGCAAGGCATTTCCTCGGGAAGATTCTGAACCCCCCATCCAACTCATGAAGTGTGCGATAAGTGACCGCGGGCGAAAATCCAAACGATCCACTTCCTGTGTAGCCCGGCAAGAAACCCGAATTTCTCCAGTTGCTGTACCGAACCAGTTGTACTGGTGGAAGACATTGATCACTGCGGTTTCATAATCGTCCAGGACAGTGAGGATTGCGGCATAGGGCAGCCTGGTGTGCAATTCGTTTTTTTCATCCGATGCGATCCATCCCTTTCTCGTCAATAGCAGAGATGCGTACTGAAAGCCACAGTGCCATGGGTTCTTTCGCTCGATTTCAACCCGATACGATCCACAATACAGCTTCACTTGGATTTGAAGGCATGGTCCATGCTCATTGGTGGTTGGGAAACGTTCATCAAAACACCCTCGCCTTTTGAAGGTTCTTCCTTCCAGCTCCAACTCTTTCAGCCTCTCCTCGTGCCGAAATTGAGGGCGCCGTCCAACGGTCTGCTCCATGTGCTCCGATCGACGACAATGCGGTGCCACGGTCGACCGTACCAGCGAGAAGAAGTCCACAAAACGCGAGGCCGAATGGACACAACTGAGCAATCACGTGACCGGCTTTGCGGCCAGCAATGCTTTGAGCAAACATTAAACTGCAAGTGCAAGTCCTCTCTACCAAACGTCCGGATCATATGGCCAAGCCGGAAACAACAAGGAAGAGCTTGTGAAGCAAAGCTACGCCTTGCAAAATCAATGATGCTGTGGAGAACTGGCTCTTGACATCTCAGAACATGGCTGAGCTTCTAGAGGAGGTCTTATGATAACCATCAACTGATATTGGCTATATCCGGTCATGTTGCTATTTCAAAATATGTAGCCCTATCCCGTCCCCTAGAATCGTTAGTTAGTCCACTATCCCGATAACAAACCAGGTGAGCTTAATCATGCTTAATCCCACTAATTATACTCACCAACCAAGGATGGCAATCAAACACTGATGGTGATGGTATAACTGGAAACCTGCAAACATGATCATACATAGAATCAACCATCGATGGATCGGTGGTCTCTATTTTCGGAAGCTTTTGGGGGGTACAAAACATCTAATGGATAGTACACATCTAGGAATGGCTCATCTAAACCATTCTAAAGCAGTATTGGTAAAGATCTATTCATGGATATGATGATATAATATGATATAATATGATATAATATGATATAAAATATGATATAGTATGATATAATATAAGATAATATGATATAATATGATATAATATGATATAATATGCTATAATATGATATAATATGATATAATATGATATAATATGATATAGTATGATATAATATGATATAATATGATATAATATGATATAATCTGATATAATATGATATAATATGATATAATATGATATAATATGATATAGTATGATATAATATGATATAATATGATATAAATATGATATAATATGATATAATATGATATAATATGATATAATATGAAATAATATGCTATAATATGATATAATATGATATAATATGATATAATATGATATAATATGATATAAGATGAAATAATATGATATAATATGATATAATATGATATAATATGATATAATATGATATAGTATGATATAATATGATATAATATGATATAATATGATATAATATGATATAATATGATATAATATGATATAATATGATATAATATGATATAGTATGATGTAATATGATATAAGATGATATCATATGAGATAATATGAGATAATATGATATAATATGATATAATATGGTATAGTATGATATAATATGATATAATATGATATAATATGATATAATATGATATAATATGATATAATCTGATATAATATGATATAATATGATATAATATGATATAATATGATATAATATGATATAATATGATATAATATGATATAAATATGATATAATATAATATATGGTGATATTGTCTTTGAATAACTCGTATAGAGACTAACATCAACCAATCCATCCGCGCCTTGTCACAGAGCTTCTGCAACTCCACCATTGCCCGCGGCGACAGCAGATCCGGGCGGATGCTCAAGGCCTGCCGCAGCTGTTTTTTGTTGTCCAAGAGTGGTTAAAATGGGTAGTTTCACAAGAAAATTGATGATCAACCAGGGGCACCATGTTTCTCCATTTTTCAGATAAGCGAAAATTGGAGTTTCAGGTTGTGTTTCATGCGGATGTTTGGAACAAACAGTGGGATTTGGTCGTAGTCATTAACGTTTGCTCGGTTGGTTGAAAGGAATATCAGCAAGAAACATATGTTGGTTTTGACAAATAGCTACTGCGTCCAGTATGCTGGTATACCCTGAAACCAAGTTCAAGAGTTTCTATCAAACATGGCCAGGAACTGAGAGGCAAAACTCCAAACATCTTTCATTTAATAGTCATCTAATGTCATTTAAGAGTCAGTCATACAGTCATTTCATAGTCAATTAATAGTCATTTAATATATGTTACTGTAATATCATGTGATCCAGTTTTTGAACGACAACCAACGTGTTTGGGATCTCCGAGTGATTTCTGCCTGGCCCAACTTGATGAAGAAGGGACCCAAGGTGGTCACCTCAACCAGATGTCTGTGTAGATCACCAGCAGGGGGGAGAAGTGGAGAATTTTTTTGTTTTCTCCGTTGCTATGGCTGGGAAATGCTAAGAAACTTCGATGCAAATGATGTACCCTCTGGTAATTTAACATAGCTATGGAAAATCACCATTTTTAATGGGAAAACTCACTATGTCTATGGCCATGTTCAATAGCTATGTTAGTTTACCAGAGGGTACAGTAATTATAAGAGGCGGTTTTATTCAATCGAGGTGATTCAAAAGAGACCGGTGAAACCGGATTTTCGTGTCTTGTGTCCAGCCAGGCTGCTTCATCAATGGGGGATGTGCTAAACGACGCCCATTTGAATGACCGGTTTTGATTTAATGCTTCAAGCGTGTTGATTGAAAACCGCCTATTCTTAGATAAAGGTTGCAAAAAACAAAAGACTTCACAAGGGGGTACCAGCACTCTCCAGAAACCAAACTTGGAACATCCACAGTATATCCAATCAATAGATTTGTGGGATGTGTTCATTTTCCTTGTGAAAATGCCATCTTGGTTTATGTCCTCATCATATCTCTTCAAGTCAGCGGGCCCCTTACAGAAAGTGAGTGTGACCACAGTTAGTTAATCTGATCAAAGTGACCCCAGTTGTAACCGCACTTATGAGACCAACCCCAGTTGTTACTGTTGATCACAGACTTGTTTGCACTTACCAGTTTTCATGAATGTGACAATCCAAGGTGTATCTGGATGTAATTGGTGTATAATAGACAATGGATATATGTATATATATAACGGAAATATCATGGGTACAGTACACAATCGAGTAGAATTTCACAGGGACCCTACAATTCTCTGCCCAGCGTCGATTTCGTTGAACTTGGCCGCTTGCGCCACTTGCGCGTCAGGGCCCGTGTTGCCGGTGATGCGATTCCAGATCTTGGAAGATCTTGACGTCGGAACGAGGGATGACCATAGCTATTCACTTCGGCATCAGGGTAGCCTTTAATAAATCAAACATGGCTAGTGGTGATATCCCCTAGAAATGGAGGTTTGAATGAGAAAATAACATAGCCCTATAGATTAGTGGATTTCCCATGGCGCCATGTTACGTATGTTGGATCATCAGAGGGCACCAGGGTGGTGAGGATAAGTCAAAGGGTGAGGTGCGCTATGTCATAAGGTTGCGGTAGTTCGGCTGAATGATTTGATTCACCACCTACCCATGTTGTTTCTAATCCTTCGTGAATTCATCTAGAGCCCCAATGAAGGAATCTTCTTGCAACATTTCACTCGTTCACTCGTGAGAAAGAAAAGTTCAGTGTTTCCCAAATTCCGCAGCTCAATGATGGTGAATCATAGAGCCATCCCGAAAGATAATTAAGGGTCTCAGCTTCACAGAACCTCTCATTGGATGCAATTCATAAGTTCATCAGTTTTCTCGAGCAACAGCTTCTTGAAAGCCTTGAAAGCCTTGAAAGCCTTGAAAGCCTTGAAAGCCTCTAGAATCAGAGCTCATGAGTAGTTCGTCGCACAAGAAAATCATGGAAAATCCCGTCCGCAAATGGAGGTTACCGGAGGACACCCTGGCCATCCATGGCATTAGCCAAATGCTGGGCTGCCGAACGAGGCTTCCAATCAATGGCGCTCCCGTACCTCGGGAAAACCATGGTTTATATACCATCAAAATACCATCAAAAATTATAAGAGGAATATATTTCTTTAAAAAAGGAAACACCATTTCTTTTCCATCAAAAACCATGGTAAAAATATACAAAAACCATGGGCTGTAGAGGGTTCCTACAGTTCCACCCTCCAACCCTGGACAACAGGATCCAGCAGCCATTATCACCGTCGATACCAAGCTCAGAGTTTCTCACAACGTAGCAAGGATATGTAAAGGACTACAATATCATTTCCTGCCCATAGATACGTACTCCTATATTAGATTTACTATGTATATATTATTATTAATATTATTATATTATTATTATTATTAATTATTATTATTAGTATTTTTTTTATTATTATTATTAATTATTATTATTAGTATTTTTATTATTATTATCATTATTATTATTAATTATTATTATTAGTATTTTTATTATTATTATTAGTATTTTTATTATTATTATTATCATTATTATTATTAATTATTATTAGTAGTATTTTTATTATTATTATTATATACATAGGTGTTTGTACTACCATGATGTTCTACAATGGATGATTCTGGGATTGCAGTAGAAAAAGAACATCCTCTCTCGAGCATGGTGACACCCTGCGTCGGAGTCGCTGATGATCTGGAGAATCCTGGACAGATCAAGGCCACTGGTAAGGTTTGCCACGCGTTCTATGGCTACTTAATGGTACCCTCTAGTAATTTAACATAGCTATGGAAAATCACCACTTTTAATGGGAAAACTCACTATAAATGGTCATTTTCAATAGCTATGTTAAATTACCAGAGGGTAATTATGGTTCAAAACTAAAGTATAACACCCATTTTGGGATTGATATGATAGAAAACTATGTAATGTTGATACTAATGTGGTGATTTGTCTTATATAAGATGACAGAATCTCATAGACTAATAAGTGACTAATAGAAGCATAAACTATGAAGAACTGCGTGTTTTTTTTGGTACCCGATTTCCGAGTCATACTAAGATGAATGGCTTATGGCGTCATTCTCGGCCCAGTTTCTGATGGATATTGCAGGACTTCCGTGGGGCAAATCTCCTACAAAAGCACAGTGGGTGAACCCAGATATGGAAAATGTGTCGTGATAAATCCTCTTCCATAGCAACCTCATGTCACCTCATATTCAAAAAAAGTTAAAAATGGAAGTCCTTGAACCAAATGATACATATTGATACATCCATCAACAAACAATTGCGCTCCTATAACTCCGATCCATTTCCATCATAAATTTCCATAAATTTCCCATCCCAAAAAAGGGATCCCAAACAAAGGTCCCAGGCCGGTCGCACCCGGCGCCTCTGGAACTGCAGCCCTGGAAGCCCATCGAAGTACTCTCGCAGGATCTCCGGGTCGTAGGACAACGGCAAGCCTGACTCCTGACGGGGCCACTGGAGCCCCGTGAAGCCAGGAGTTGTGATTGGAACCATATGGTTTTTTAGAAGACCCAACGAAATGGGCCATTTTCAATAGCTATGTTAAATAGAGGGTAAGCCGGTTGACTCTTAGATTTATGGGCGGTTATGGATAGTTGGTGGGACTTACAACATCTTATATCCAGTTTTGTTGGCACTTTTTGATGACTATGGCCCTGGCTGGGTACAACTGGTAGAGTCCCACTACCACTGGGCAAGATCCGCCTCGTATGTCATGACCGTCTGGTCTGCCGGTCCCATCCAACATCATCCAACATCATCCACCATGATACTGGTTGGTGGTGCAATAATCATCTTGAAAAATGATGGAGTTCGTCAATGGGAAGGATGACATCCATTCATATTAATTAAAAATAAAATACATGTTCTAAACAATCAACCAGATGATGTTGATGAGTTTGATCATGTTGATACATGTTGATACACCCTCTGGTAAATAGTAAACTAACCATTTATAGTTGATTTACCTATTAAAAATGGTGAAACCCAGGGTATATCCCAAAATATCACCCCAATTCATCACCCTGAAACCATGCATCCCACGAGTTGCCTGATCCGTTGGCACATCCACCAGGCGCATCTCTAAGCCCTCGATCTGCCGATCGCTGTCGTTCAAACCTGGCGAGTCGGGGAACCCAGAAACCGAGAAACGGCTGTCTCTGATGGTGATCATGTTTTTTTTAACATTGGCAATGGCAATTTTAAGAGTGGACTGTATATATAATATATAATATAATATATAATATAATATATAATATAATATATACCTATATATATATATTATGTAACTATATATCATTATATATATATTATATTATATTATATCTAAATATGTATAACCCCCAATATATTTTCTTGACATATCCAACTTTTTTAATGCCCAAGTCAAACAACTCCGATCCTCTCCGAGAATTCCATCTCCAAAACATGGCAATAAAGCATCGCTCAGCGCCTGAACCACGAAGGCCTTGCATCATCAACTTCAACTCCTGGAACGGAGTTGCTGCCGAAGGATCCCAAAATCTCCGTTTTTTGTTGTGGTTCCAACATCTGCAGAATCTGCAGATTTTTGACCCACCAAAAAAACTCTGGGGACTGGGTCAAAATTACCGGGTACTGAACTGGGTGAATTGAGAATCTAATTATAGGATATTATAGGTACAACTTGGAGCTCACTGAGTAGTGCTGTTTGCCAAGATTTACCAAGTAGCTTTGGCTTTTTAGTTTCCACATGTTTCAGTTGGATGATGCGTTGGTTGAGATTTTGGACGTGTGGTCCAGTTGGTCGGCTGAGTCCTCTGTCAACATGAGTCAATACCAACAAGTTCTTTGGCGAACGGACATTTAAAAAATCTGGAATTCTTTAAGTTGTTTGAGTTCTCAAATAGAAACCAAAACTTTTGGTTTCAGATTCGTATTTTTGAATTTGGTCTGTTAGCCTTGTTACATTTCGTTACTGGAATCAAATTTTGCTTCAAGAACTGGTTCAAAATATTCATTCCTGGAACTCAAATCTTGATATTTGTTGGAATCAACCTATGTTAACGAAGTTGAATCCAAATTTGGTCAAAATTAACCCTGTGGTAAACCAAAAAAAAGCTATGGACATCACCCCGTTGAATAGGTAAATCAAGGAACTAAATGGCCCATGTTCATCCATTTTCCATACCCTAAGGATCCATGTATGGAATATTTACCTACATTGGGATTATTTTAAATTACTTTAGGGGTCAATGTAGGTAAATATTCCATACATGGATCCTCTGGGATAGCTATGTTCGTTAGATGGTACCCCCCCCCGGCAAGATCCTCATCATTCTCCATCGAAGCTTCGAACTGCTTTCGCTGCTGTCGCATCTGCTTGGACAGGTCAGACATCGTGCCAGCGCCTGAATCGACAAGTTTGGTGCTGGACATCCAGAAATTGGTTATAGTGATAGTATACGAATAACAGCAACATACTATACTGATATTAATATATTACAGGTTAACATACTATTAATGATGAATTAATATCAATGTACTAATGAGGATGCTAACCATCAACAGCAGGGACATACATGCTCCCAATACATGCTAAAAATGGAGGTTTATAGCTGGGAAAATCATCAAGCTAATAGGGAATCTATAGGTGACATACCCTCTGGATCCCTGTGGTAATTTGTTTCATAACTATGGAAATGGTCCACATATGGATGATGAATCCCTATATATTTATCATTTTAAATGGTGATTTTCCAGTTCGCTATCTTAAATAACCAGAGTGTATACCGTAAAATGGCAAGGCAATGTAAACTGGGAAGAGGATGATTCTAAAAACCAGTTTTAATGCAAAAGTTGTCTGCATCTCTTCAGATGCCAAAAGAAAAGCTTCCTCACTGCGTCATACAATGATTCAAGAATAAGAAATGAGACCATTCTGGAGCTGATTTCCCATACTACAGGAACCACATGGAAGCCACGGCCCATGGTTCGTTCGATGATTTACCGAACTTAAAGATGATGATAGTTCGATGGCCATGTGAGTTTACCAGAGGGTTTAAATTGATGTGGTAACCCAGGAATTATATATAGTATATAATACAGTAGTATATAATATTTATTAAAAGAAAAAATATATAATATATGAATACTGATAATAGTAGTCATCATCATCATCATCAACAACCAACCAACTTTTGTTGTGGCAAGATGTTGTGGCAAAATGTTTTGCCGCACCCCAAAAAAATACAAGGTGTCTGTCAGCAAATTGTTTTAAGTTGCGCGACAATGTGCAAAAACTGTCACAGGACCACGCGAAACTCATGCAACTTCAGGGAAATCTTGCTGTTTTTCAGCAAGTAAATTTCATTTGTGCATATGTTTGCCTTCCGTCTTCGACGTCAAGCTTTTAAAGCAGAAACGGCAAAACATCGTGAGGAGTTTTGGGCTGGGGTCCTGAAGAAGCAAAACCACAATGCCAAGAATTCAATGGCAAAGCAGGACACATACGCGCCCAAACATAGTGCGGAATAATTGATGACGACCAAGAGAAATAAGATGTATTGAAAATTTATGGAAAACATACAGGCAGCAAGCACCAATCCTGTAAGAGATGCACCCACAAGTGTCTGCCAAGTTCCACTTGACTCACTTGACATGGCTCGGGTTACCAGGCTGGTGCTTCGCAACATCAAAGGAAACATGAGGATCCACGTCAAGGGAATCTGTACTCCACATGCAAACACATTGCAAATCATGTACTGGCTGACCGAAGCATACCCCCAGTACGAGGCTGACTGCTCACAATCTGCACGGCCATCACACCCAAACGCAATCGTGAAGCCACCTAAAATCATTGGCAAGATAGCCGCGATGCAAGAGTTGAGAGGGAAATAATCCTCTTTCCCTGTGGATGCCTCAACGCTTTCACGCAATGGGCCCCTCACATATGCATTGAACTGGTCCAGGATTTCATCACGAGTCGGGTAGCTAGTGATATCACGGATGTCCCAAAGCACTTCCGGAGACACCAAAGGAGCATCTGGCATATCGGGAACAGTTCCAAAAGGGACTTGAAGCGGAGGCTCCAAGGCTTCATCAAAGAGGTTCACAATTTGTTGCTGGATGACTGCACGGTCACTTTCCACTGTGCACTCAGTACTTCGAATGTCGAAGTGCTTCATCTGGTTCAGCATCAACTCGTGTTTCTGCACTTTCCGCGCGCACAGCCAGAAACTAGGCAAAGCACAGCATCCTGCCCAAACCACATTCATGGGCGCTTGATACATCATGAAAGAGATCATGCATGAAAGCCTTGAATCCAAATCCAGTTGGTAAGACCAGACTTCTCCAAGACTCAAGAAGCACATCAAAGTCAAAAAAGTGAAGCACGACAAGACCCACAAAGGCATCCAGACTGGCACAAAGCGTATGGGCCGTGCTGAAGAAGCTTTCACATAAACAGCGACCTCATAATTGCACCAGAGTCTTTGCCAATAAGTATCATCCCAAATCACCAGCATCTGCTTTGACTGAGCTACGAAGGCGGGAATAGCCTGTAGGGTTCTTGACTTCACCTCCGGATCGGATGGATGGACACAGACCTGATCGATCCAAAACCTGCGCGGGCACAGCAAATGTCCAAAGAGATACGTGCCCAGAAACATCAAGAACGGCCACAACAATAAAAGAACGTACCTCAGTGCTGGATCTTGCTGTGCCACTGCGGCGATGCTACCTGCATGTACTATCAAGATCAGAATGGCCAGCAGGAAAGCAAAGGCACATGATCCAATGGCCAAGTTCAGGTTGAGGCAATGACACAGAGCCAGTCGTTTCATCCAAGATGGACATGACCAAGAATGGCTGATAAAGAAATCCACTTGCGACACCCTCTCCAAAGAATCATACCTGGAGGTCCGGTCTGGGCTGGCTTGGAAGTACTTCAAGATCGAATTTAAAAAATGGAAATTGAACAAAGCACCTGCAGTTGTAGCCCGGAAGAGTCCGTCCTGTTCCACACGTCGGATTTGCGTTGAAACCTGCTGCATTCAGACGGCCAGACGAGGCTCGCTCGAGCTTGAGCCGGGCTCATCATCCCTGCCGAAAAAAGAGCATGATTTAGGTTTGTCTGAAAATTCAAGATATCGCAATACCCCCACAATGGTAATCCCAATGTGCTAAAATGCTAATAGGATCATTTTACCATTAATTACATTGTAAAAAAAACATCCTCAACTAGTGATTATCACTGATTATCAGTTTTATACACCAATGGTAATAAGGTCATGTCCGATGTTACACGATCATGTCATCCCTGAAGTTGGGGGACCAACACCTATCCACCCCTTCGCCTCTGGTAGCACGACGCAGTGCCCTCGCCCGGCGAGAAGAGACTGTGAAGAGCATCGTAGCACCTTCGAACAGCGATTGCATCCATGGATGGTATCTTGGTATGTGGTACTTTAATGATCTTTAATGTAATTTATGGCAAAAAAAACTATGGTAAATCCATGGTAAACTGTGGCAAACTGATCATAATTCATGCTGAGAATCATCCCAACTGATACGGCTGGAGTTATCATTCACCGTATCTGACAGACCGTTCATAGTATCAGCTGACATCAGATATTCACCATGAGTATATTACCATTGTAGTCTATGATGTTAATATAGTGTGTTTAAACCCATCCCATTAGTATATTACTATGATTAGTTTTACTATCGTAGTATATTAATTATGATATTTCATAGTATTTTACAGCAACATATATATATATATCATTATAATACATATATATATATATATCATTATATAATATATATTATTATAAATATATATATATATATACATATATATATATATATGTACTGTCATCCCATACCCATACCACCCATCCCCCACCTGCAGCCGTCAAGGCAACTCCGCCATGTCCCCGTCCTTCCGCTCCTTCCACCGTCCGCAACGCGCCGCGCAAGGCGCGACCCCGCGCTGCGACGGTGTCGGGGAGCGGGCCGGCCACGAAGGCCTCGGGAGTGACAGCATCCCAAAATGGGAAATGTAGGCGTTGTGAGTGGTATAAAATCCTTGGAAATATGGGGAACAAATTATAATGTATATATTTCTATGTATGTATATATATATAGTTACACTCTGTATATATACATATATATATATAATTATATATATAAGTTTATAGTCAAAAAGATGGAACATCTTAGATTTGCCACTTATTAATATGTGTTTGAATTGGAGTTGCTTCTTTTTGCGTCTTTGCGGGATTGATCACTTGATGATGATGATGATGATGATGATGATGATGATGATGATGGGGATGGGCCCGGGATGGGGATGTGTAGTTCACCAAGAAAAAATTGGATGACCATCAAAATATCAAACATAGGGGTCTACCCTGCAGTAAAATTATCACAGCTTGAACAAAACTTGTTTTTGTCATGAAAAAATATTGAAAAACATGGGAAAACGACCTTTTGCAGATCATTCCTGGGAGAACATTGTGGTTTTCCTTTCTATATTTACCCCAGGGGAGGTGAATTCAATCAAAGGACCTTCCGTCGACAAATGATGTCCATTTCGGAAAATATGTTGATGCCAGCTTGGCGCAACATGAATATGGGATCCCTTTTTCATCAAAAAAACGGTTCATCGCTTGGGATCCATAGGGGGGAGCTTCCTGTAACGGAGGATGCAGGCTCGAGCATCTGTCCCGGTCGGCAGTCCATCGACCAGCAATGCATCCATCATGGCAGCGGCTTTTTGAACGAAGGGGACGAAAAATCTCCTTGTTTTCATAGGTTAATGATGGTTAATGATGGTTAATACAATATTTCACCAACCTAAAAGGTTGGGGATAGTTACACTAACCATTCCCAATAATGATTCCCACTGGCTCCACCAATGACCTCAAATTTGGCTCACCAAATTTGGCTCACCTTCTTCGAGGATTTCCAGGGGTTCACCTATGTTCACCTTGGGCGTGCAGCTGTTGGCGGCAACCTATGGTTCATGATTCATATGATTCATGATGTTCATGTCTCACCATAGTCTGCTATTGCATCTATTGAATCTATTGGCTGCGCCGAGCAAAACGTGATGCACCTTGAAGTCATGGCTGGCTCTTTTAAGCCTCATAAGTGGAGCTCATGGGATTCAAAACTCTAGATTATCTTCCCCTTCCCCCTGAACAGACGGAGAATTTCCGGATCAAAAATTCAACACTCAATCTTCATCAATTTCATCAATCCACATCTCCAAATTTCATGGCGAATTTAACATGAATTCACCCAGCTGGGGCCAATCTTCGCAGAGCTCACAGTGCCAACTCCAGGTCCGTATCCCAAGGCATCATGGACACATCTCCTGGGTGCTCCGCCGGGCCCCAAAATTGGCTGAGAAAACTCGTAAGTCTGGATATGGCTGGATCCAAACTTGCCATGATCTGTGAACTTTGTTCTTCTTTGTTCTTTTTTAGCACTTGAAAGTTCATGTTTTCAGGATGAATATTGGAATCTTGGGAGAAATGTGGAGATTCATACGCTGGAGATTCGATCACATTTTCCTCCATCAAACTCCCGACTGCACCTCCCCGCACCATGGCAGTCAGCAAGGTGCCCTGCCAAAAGTTGAATCGAAGGTGTTTTCTGGTGCGATGAAAGGGTCAGATTTTCTGTCAGAAACCAAGAATTTCACACCTTTGATGGGCCATCAAAGTGTTTTCTCCAACCTTGGCGAAGTTCTTTGAGGTCACTCTGGGGATGAGTGGTATAATCCTGGTATCCCAACAAAAATGCCTGTCACTTGGAAATCATCCAAGCTGGGCAGTGCAACAGCGCCACAACAAGTCGCCAAGTCGCCTGAGACCAGATCCCTATAAAAAAGCAGTGCAACAGCGCCACAACAAGTCGCCAAGTCGCTTGAGACCAGATCCCTATAAAAATGGACCATGGTTGAGTGAGCACTTCCAATCCTCCAGCCCCCATCTGTCAAAAGTAAAACCAAAAAAAATTTGTTGCACTTCCAGGATTTTTCAGACTTCATGGACCCAATGGACCCATGAAGAAATGATCCCAAAAAAAAAGTGCCGGCCATTTCAACGGGCGCCTGCTTTGGGGCTGCAAAGTGGTGCTCTGGGTCCAGGGACCTCCACCATTTCACGATCTTCACGAAGTCGTCCTACGAAGCGCGAAACAAAATCGGCCGTTCCAAGGACCTGCCATGACTGGTGAGTGGTTGAGCCCGGCCCTAGCCCTCTGAAAAATGATGGAGGTATTACACTCTGGTAATTTAACATAGCTATTGAAAATGGCCATTTATAGTGAGTTTTCCCATTAAAAATGGCCATGTTCAATAGCTATGTTAGTTTACCAGAGGTAGTCAGTTGGGATGACATTCCATTCCCAATATGATGGGAAAGTCCTAAAAAATTCCATGGTTCCAAACCACCACCAACCAGTGATTATTAACCATCATTAACCATCATTTACCATCATAATCCATTCCATGGTTTCCAGTCACCAACCAGCTGAGAGAATTCGACAAAAACAGGTTCCAACATGATCCTCGATGCGGCGGCGGTACAGCAAGGAGGTTGCGATACCTCGACGGGACATGGGACATGGGATTGTTTTTTGCGGGAAGAGTAAGACAAATCATGAAATACAAGTTACAAGTTAATATTTATTTGGGATTCAACATGATCGTTTTTCAAGGAATCATCATACACCATCATTGTACGTTTTGTTCCAAGTGGTGTTTCACACTCCTTCGAAGTGGCACTCTATCAAAAATCCCCCAGCACAAGATCTGGTAACAATATGCAGTAAATTTCAAACCCTATGTCACTCATCATTTGAGATGAAGTCGTTTGAGATCGCTGTGAGTTTGCTGCTTTTTTGCCACCAGTCACTCGCATCTTTGGAACTGATGTGACTCGCCAGTTTTGAGGCAATTCCCAGGGAGTCCGGCCGGCAAAGTCCCCATTTTTGTTGGTCAAATCTGGTCTTGGCTCCATGTCATCAAACCTTAGCACTGACCAAAGATACATATGATATCCCAGAAAATTCCCAATTCTCTCCCAATTCATCCCAGTTAAATCACCATTATTGTTGGTTAGTATGGTTATATGGGTTTGTCTGAAAATAGGGTATATTCCCAAACAAATAGCCATTTAATAGGGATAATGATCAGCAAAACCATTGGGTTTAGGGGTACACGACATTTTCAGACAAACGCATATAATGTTAGTTAATGTTATATAGTCATCCAAAGTTCACACCATGTGGTTGCCTTCCCCATGTGGGAATCGTCGCCGGGTGCCCCCACGTTGTTCCGCCACTGTGTGGGCGGTTTGCCAATCCGTGCCGTTGCCTGCCAACAAGATCAACAAGAAGAACTGGCTGCTAGATATGGATCAATATTTGGATATAATCCCATCCCCTAATCTTAAACACTCACCCAAAAACCATGGTTTAGTAGGGGATGTTCACATTTTTTGGGGACCACTAACAGCAGGGGGTGTTGAATAACGGGGGATGGAATTGTCCCACACTTGGATCCGAAAATTCAGGGTTGAAACCTGTACATCGGGGTAAACACCCATGATTTGTGGTTAGATTTTCATGATTTTCCCTTAAAATAATCCATTGACAACAGGAACTCATCCCCTGTTGATGTTGAGCATGCTCTATTGATTTCTGTGATTCAGATCTTTACGTTCTATTCATGCGATTGGTTTTGGTATTCACTAACTTGGATCGCTCAAGATGAGTCCAATAAGAACATCCCCCCGGCCAAAATGTGGTAAACTTACAAAAAGCTATTGGCCATGAAAGTAGTTGATTTACCCATAAAGAATGGTGGTTTTCCATAGTTATGTAAACGTTTACCAGGCCGGGTACCCAACTGAGGATATGGTTAAGCTATGTTTCTTGACCTTCCCAAGCCACGCCTACCAGAAGCGCCGGCTTCGATGAAGTCAGAATCCTCAGAGGTCGAGTCGACGGGAATTCTGACCTCCCATAAAATCGGGACCAGTTTCTATGGGATATTACTATTGGTTACCTGTGGTAAATTAGCATAGACCCTGAAAATAAGCAATTTTTAGTGGAAACCAGTCTTCCAACCCCTATCTGCCAGGGTCTATGTTAATTTACCGGAGGGTAACTATGAGGATTCCCATTTATAAATAAATATACCATTTTTTTTATCTGGAAAAATATGAGGATTCCCATGGGAATATCATGGGATATCAAACTTCTATCATGTGGGTAAAACAATGCCATAAACCACCCATTTTCCTGGGAATGGTTCAAAAAAAATACCACCTATAAAAATGGTGATGACTGGGGGATGGTAAACATAGCATTGTTTTACCCACATTAACCAACAATATTATGATGTGGGTGTGTCTAAAGCTGGGGTATACCCCCAACTGGCTACTTTACTTCGAAAGCCATCCCATTCTGGACAGACTCTAAAAAGGCCACCTGGAAATATCATAAAATATCTGTGGGGTCCAGCTTCTAAGCGATAAAGTCCATTAACTTTTGTTGCAATGTCTTACAATATTACATAATGACATATTCAAACTATAGACCATAGTGTTTAAATGTGTGTTGACAATGCTAATTAGTATTAGTTTGAACGTATAAAAAATAATATATAAGTGCCATAAACCATAGTTAAACAATGTTAAACATGGTTAAACCGTCAATGGATGTCAATGGGGGACTCCCACTGGGAAAGTTTCACATTCGCGCCTCCCAGCATAGTCCACGGCTTCCACTTGGTAACGTTGAGCAAAAGCATCCTGCGACCCAGAAAACTCGGTCGTTTGTCAAAAAATCGCAGGGAGTTCTCCATGAAAATCATCATTGTTTAAGTGGCAAACTACTGAAATCCATGATTCCATGGAAATTTCTGATACCCTCTTGTCATGACTAACAGTTCGCCATTTGTCAAGCCATGGCCCTAATCGATTTATAGATGGTTTACCGAACTTTTCATAGCATGGTGGATCTTTCCATGGCATTGCCCTGTGAATGTCATAACCAGATGATACCAGATGGTATTCATCCTCTACCTGTGGGATCTCGGGCTTCATCAACTCTTGATGCTTGTTGTGCCCCTGGGGGCCCCTGGTACCCAACTGGTACCGGGGCGCACTGAAAGCTTGGCTTTCTGGACATAATCTTCTTCTCCTTGGCGAGAGAATGATCCCTGGATGACCCAGCTAAGTTGACATAACTTGGTTGACAAAGCAACAAACACAACACATGACGTAAGTTATAACCTGGTTATAACATGACATAACTGGGGGACCTCACCTTGTGTGTGTTGTGGATGATCGCCCGACAAATTGGATGGTGCAGATTATTGTCAAATTTTCCCAGCATCGAAGTGATAGGAGGCTGGGTGTCTGTGATGAGTTTGGAGCAATCAACAAAACAACTTAACGTTATTTCGTTGGACGTATCAAATTAATTACAGTAAATTTATGCATCTACCCTCTGGTAAATGTTTACATAACTATGGAAAGATCCACCATGTTTGGGAAAATTCACTATTTCTATATATTTCGACTGGGACATTTTCAATAGCAAACTGTTAGTCATTACCAGAGGGTTATTCCATTATAATACCAATATAATCCCATTATATCCCATTATATCCCACTATAATCCCAGTTTACTTCATAATGTCTGTCACTCTTTAAAGGAAAACGATGGACAGACCAACGGTTGTTCTCTGAATAACGATGCAGGCAATTCGTGACACCAAAGAGCACACCACTGATCTTTCTATAGAGCTTGTGAGATGTGCCCTGAAGTGGTCATGGAAAACTGGTTGGTGGTTTTAACCATCTTGAAAATATGAAAGTCAATGGGAAGGATTATCCCATATATTATGGAAAATAAAAAATGTTACAAGCCACCAACCAGAAAATCATATAAAATGTCATCCAATTCTAGAGAAGGACATGATTCATATATATATATGACACATGGATATCAATGGTGGATGTTCATTTATATCCATGATAATATCCATTTAAACAGTTTTTCATGGTTCTAGAGAAGGACATATTTTTATAATATCAATGGTGGATAAAAATATCCATTTAAAAACTATAAATGTTGGATTTTCAGTTGCCAGGTTGGATCAGCATCGGGCAATTTTTCTTGTGCCTTCGTCGTTGCCGGTCGGTTTGAGTAGACTGGTGGAGCCACGGTCAGCAACCGGCACCAATCTCGGGTTGCGTCGTCGAATAAACATTCGTCGATATGAAAGTCATGAATCTGGGTAAATTATAATATTTCACTAACTATGAAATCCATGGAATCAACTGATATTAATATAATATCATAATATTAATTATCATAATATTTCACCAACCTGAATTGTTGGGCCATAACAGGGGATGTTTCCCCTTACTAACTATGATTATAGATGAATATACCATCTGGTTATGACTAACATAGCCATGGAAAATCCCAAAAAAAAATGGAGGTGTCTAGCTGGGAAAATCATCTATTTCTATGGGCCATCTGTTCCATGGCTATGCAACAAATAACCAGAGGGTATAACGAAAAGTCATGTCTAGTCATGTCTCGGCACCAATATTTCAATTCATGATTTTTGTGGAAACATGACTTCGCTCGCTGCTAACACCATCATTCTGTCACTTATTTGTCAAATAGATCTCACATGAATCTGATCAGATTGGAAGCCTCACTGCCGTTACCTCCAGGGTCTATCAGCACAGCAGGTGAGACGACGTCGACCTCTGAAAGTGGATTTGTTTCTTCCTGGCTTTGCCGCAAGTTATTTTGGGTGAAAAACATCGGGAGATACCAACAAATCCATGTGGATTTGCAACTTTGGGGCATCCCCCAGTTTGAGACAAAGCCTACTGGTTCTGACACTGGTCTACTGAGGAACTGGTCACTTGTGGATGGGTCAAAACATGTCAAAACCTCAGTGGAAGCACAAATGTTTTCTTCCATGTTTGGTACTAACACCATCCAACTGTTTGGGGTAATGTGGTAAACCGAATGGTAAACCTCTATTGGGGATGTTTTAGGGTTTTGGGTTTACAAATGCAGGACCCGTATCCACATGGCCCTCTTCGTTCCAAAAAGTTTGCTCCAACGCGACCCCTTGGCCAGTCCTTCATTGGAAGGAACAAAAGAGTCACAAGCAGAAAGAGCTGGAATAGTTGAATAGCTCCCGCTGGAATAGTGGATGAACCATAGTCCCCATTTGCACCCCAATTAGGGTCTCTGAGATTGGTTATACCCCACCCCGTTCTTTGGGATGATTTGCAGCCCCCAAATCACGGCTCATCCACCCACCTGCGGCGATTTTGTTGGGGCCTTTGTTCAGCCGCAACGTGAGTTTGAAAACGCAACGCGTTGCGTGGCGCTGCGAAGGTAACGGATGTAAACGCAAGTGGTTGAAAACTTTGGGTCTGGGTCAAGTTCTCAAGAAAAATTACCCACCAAGAATTGGAGAATCTTGCAGCCTGCGAATGACCAATGAATTTGAGAATTAAATTTCTCAGAATTTTTGACCCAAGCCTCTTCAAAGTCCAGCTCGTCTGCGATTCCACCGCAGCAAGCCTAGCGGGAGTAGCAGCCAAAGCAGCCGGAACAGGCTGCTAAACATCGGCAGATTGTCGGCAAAATGTTCCCGCACCACGGCGTTGATCAGGTTGGTGATGAACCAAAAGCTGCCAAACGTCAGAAACATCACCAGCGACAACCTGGGCCAGGCCATGGACTGCAGCATGATGCTGGCGCTCCAAAGTTGCGCTCTGAAAATGGGGATACCCACACAATTTGGCACTTTTCGTGGAGAAAAGGATCATAAACCATGACATTTAGTGGGTTTAGTCTATTTTTTTCGGGAAAAACATGTATAAAGGCTGCAAGTACAACCACTAGGCAGATTCAGCTGCCAAAACGCAGCAGGCCAAGTGACACAAGTGCCGCCAACAGCCGGGACCAACTGCAGTTGGTGCGTTTCATCAGATAAGGCCCAAAACTGCAAAGTTCGAAGATCAGCCACAAGTAGAGCAACCAAATGGTCAGGTAGTTGAGGAAAAACTTCGCCAAAAACTCAAAGGCTGCCTGTATCAGGAGGCTATTTCAAAACAATGGCGGGTTTCATCATGGCTTCCAAAACGATATTTTGAGAAACTAATTTTGATGTGGTGGCAATGTGGTGTTCATCAATGTTGCGCCTGAATCATCACCAAACCATCTGGAAAGCCCTGAAAGTTTGCCTCCTGACATGGCATGGTTTCTGGTTTCTGTGATGCATCTGCTTGAACTGTAGTCCCAAAGCTTTCACAGCAGTCGAAAACACTCATTTTCAGCTGACGTGGATCCAACAGAAGTTCTCAACCATAGCTGGACTTAAACCACAGCTGGCCCGATAGTTAATTAACCATAGTTTCAGGCAACAAAGATGTTTTGTACCAGGTGAATGGTGCAAAAACCTGAAAGGTCAAGAAAAACAAAACAGTTTCACCGGAATTCAATCGTAGCCTAATCGCAGCTAACTAGTTGGCATAGCCGGATGTCACCAAACCGTGATGTCAACCCCCGTCAAAGGGTGGGAAACCCCAGTCAACTCCTACCGCTACAGTAGGCTAGGACAGGCCAAGATAGATCATGACAACCCCGATTTTTCACTGACCCCTGATGGTTGAATTGGGGAGAGAAGGCAATTGTCATTTTTGCAGGGCATGATTTAAAACTTTGGCAGCACCATTGACCATCAGTTTGGTCACTTGCACGTCAATTTTTGGAGGCTTGAAGCCTCCGATCGATTCAACTCCCAATTCTATCCTCGTTTTTCTTGGTTGAATCCTAAACTAATCCGACCAAAAGAGGAGAACACTGAAAAAAAAAATATGGCAGTGTGTCAAAACCTTGGTAAATGGATGTTCATCCCATTAAAAATGGTATTAATAGGTATTGATCCATAGCCATATGTGTGTTGAAAATCTTAAACAAACAAACAAAACTGGCGCTGTCCTGAACAAAGCCCTGCACAGCTTTCTGAAGTTCTGTGGCAGAGATTGCCATAGCTAAGTAGACAACATCCTGCTCGCTGGTTGGAGTACCCGAATGTGGGGCATGGGTTTGCAGTGTCAATCTGAAAACCGATGATAAACGATGATGAACAATATTGAACAATGATAAACGATTGGATTTTGGGTTACCAGATCTTTGGACGAACTCATAACATGAGTAGTACTAAAATGTGTTCTTTCCAGAAAAAAATGAAAACAATGAGGATGTTTCCCTTTTGGGGGGATGATAAAAGAAACAACATCTTTGAACATGTTGAAATCGCCAACCAGTCATATACCCATTTTTTCATGGTAGTCTAAACCCACATCAATTATCATAATTTCATGGTGTATGTACTTCGTCATCTTCATTCTATCTCCATAAAACTGGACAACTTCTACCCTCTGGTAATTTGTTACATAGCTATTGAAAATTGCCATAGAAATAGTTGATTTACCCATTAAAAATGGTGGATCTTTCCATAGTTATGTAAAGGTTTACCACAGGGTAAACCTCCATGTTCCTATGGTTTTCCTATGGTTTTCCTATGGTTTTCCCATTAAAACCTCCATTTTCCTATGGTAAAGCCCAGTTTCTTCATACCTTGGAGCCCCCGGTGAAACACCGCCGAAAGTTCGACTGCGCCTGGAATGGTAGCTGGGCTTTTTTGGCCCCCTGCAGCGCCACAGCACTCAGCTCCGCACGCACCACGTCCTTGAAATCGACGCGGAGATCGACATCTGGAGGATGTTGTCATTCTTCAACATCCGCTATCATCCGCTATTTAAATATTATATATATGTGTGTGTATAGGTATATATATAGAGAACAACACAATGCACAATTTTTATATGCGTGTTATATATATGGATATAATGATGTATATATAAGTTGCACTATAGAATCATTGAGATAGTACTGGATTGGAAACCGGTTACTCATCAAATATCATCATACGGGGAGGGGTCAATACATACATATGGAACCATGTTGGTTGAACATTGATACTGTGCAATACAACTACCATCCATCTGCAGTTGGGGAATGGAATTGCTCCAAGCCGAGAATCATCGAAGCTGTCTAAGAAGTCCTTTCCTTCAGTGGAATACCAAATCTTCAACATCTTGTACACCAGGACCCGATCACATGGCAGATGCTCTCCAGTTTCCGGATGCTGGTGCTCATGGCAGCAGCAGAAACACTTGGACTTGCGGATGCTGAAGTCTTGAAGTTGATCTTTCAGATTCTGTATATCTCCTTGGAGCTATTCACTCTAGATTCCCTCTTTCTGGTGGATTTCTGGCTCCCAAAACCACAAAATCCAACTCTCCAATCCAACCAACAAACCACAATTCCAAGATTTGGATAGACTTGGTTAATTCGTGGATGGTCCAAAAGACTCGACTCCCTTAAGCAAAAGCCAGGTCACGCATAACGTGAATGCCAACCCAGAACACCACCGGGACCAGCACCACCGCAACGGCCACAATCATGGCCACCGTTCGGACCATGGCAGGCCAATGGATTCCACCCTGTGAGCCGCGCACGTACCTGGACGATGGATTGGGGTACCCCAAAAACAATGCGAAAACGACGAGTATACGAGAAACTGTATACTGTATACTGGTTATAATATATATATATATTGCATTGGTAACTTAAAATGATAAGGGCCTGAATTTTGTTGACTCAGTCCCACCTGATGTTTTTTTCCTTCAAGTAATAGTAGTAGTAGCCGAGCTCGTAGGGTGTCATGAGAAGCATACCACCAATACACATCAGTAGCATCACCACTGACATTGCGACCGGCATCAACTTCACTGGTTTGTGCTCCCGCTGGCGGAGGTAGGTGGCTAACTCATAGATACCTGCAGAATCTCACAACAATTCACCAGGTTCCAGGTACAATCATCACCTTCTGCAGGAAATACTCATGTTAGTAACCACTAAAAACAACTGATGCAAAACCTCCACTGCAACTAGGGGAAATGTCTGTATATACCTCTGGTCTACTCTATAGTTCCTCAGGAATTCTGAGAAGTTTGACAGGTTCTATGAGTCAGAGAAGCATCATAGAGGCATGTTGAAGCTAAAATGCCAACCAATCTCTCAAACCAAATGTCCCAAAGTCCAACATGTGTCTGCCCTCTTGGACAATTACTGCAATCCAAAACAAAAGAAGACAGTTTCCTAAGACTCTCTCTTAACATCTCAAACAAAAGTGGGGTCATCAACACAGTTGTCCAGTTACACCACAGCCGCGTGAAATATTTGGGAGACCATAAGATCGTCAAGGTCTTGGAGCGGTCCAGGAATGCCGCCAATCCGACGATGCCTTGCGCCTTGAGGATCGCATCATGTTGGGCGATACAAAGTTTGTCCATGAAGACCATTTTTGGAAGGACCAGGCCTTGGTCGACTCCGCACGGAATTTCTGGTTTTCAAAGTGAAATGCAGTTGGCAAACCCCGAAATTCTGCAGATGATGGCCGCCAACTCCAAATCACCCACAAACCAAAGGACAAATTGTATCAAATTGATTCAAATTGTGGTTTCACCATTTCCAGCCGCTTTTGATGTAGCCTTCCGATGTTTTTCAACAAAACCATTTTATCCCTTCCATCCATATTACTGAATAATTACTTGAAATCCTGCCGAAATCAGCGTTGATAGCATTGGATCTCATCATTGAGGAGGCCCTTTTGTTGGTATATAATTCGCAGTATTATAATTAGCCAAATGTTATTAAGACTAATCATAATTATCATATAATTATCATGGATTATAATGATAATACCATCTTAGCATTGTTTCCGCCATCAAAAAAAAATGGTGCTGAAAGCGCCAGCCGTGCGAGCGGCTTCGTAGCCGCTGCCAAGAAAGGAGCACCAGAAAAAAGACGCACCACGGAAAAAAGATGTACCAAGCTTCGTCTGGCAGCCTCGAACAACTTGGCGCGATGAAGTATTTTCATATGGGGGGTGTCGGTGTCAAAATCTGGAACCATCTGGAAGCCCAAAATCCATCCCATGGCTTCTAGAAATACATAGAAATACATAGAAATACCACTTTTCCCGACAAGAAGGTCCCAGTTTTCGATGCAAAAACCCATGGATCTGAGCTCAGAAAATCACCAGGTCACCAGTGGAGTCCTAGCACCGTGCCCCAGCAGATACTGAAGCACAAGGAGATGACGGTGGCAGCACGAAGGTTGAAGATCCACAGCAGCGCCAAGACCTGGCTCATGTATCTGGGTAAATTGTTGGTGAGTATACCATTATACCATTAATTAATGAGTATACCATTAAAAATAATTAGTTCTTCATTTTATCTGGGTAAATGAAATAATATTTCACTAACCTGAATTGTTGGGCCACCAACTGGGGATGATTCCCCTATATCTAAACCAGGATTTCCAGGCTTCGGGAGAACAGGCTTCGGTCGTTATTAAAATTACCCAGATGTGGCAGCTCATGTGGCAATCATCTGTAAGTCTGGAAGATGATCTCTGGTAAACCCCATGAAAATTCAACAACTACCATATGGTTTTTTAACATAGCCATGGAAAATCCCTTATAAATGGAGGTTTTAAAGGGAAAATCATCTATAAATGGGCCACTTTCCATGGCTATGTTTAATAACCAGAGGGTACCATGACTGCTGATAGTTACCACCCATAAAAAAATGCGTCTTTTGGGGATGGTTTATTGTTGGGTTCACCACATTACACAGATTGAAGTGGAAAATCATGTCAACACCCCCAGGTTTTAGCGGAAAATCATCTACAAAACCTGCCAGAACATGGTTGGAAGACACCCATCTCTTAAGTGCAAAGTCATGTTTATGAACCCGCCAGAGATGTGAATTTAAATATCAAAAATGTTGAGATCTACGCCTGCAATAATGTGATTTTTATGAATATGCCCAACCAAAAATAGGTGTTTTTTTTCTCATGGAATCAAACATGGTTGAAACATCACCCTTGAACTTCGATTCTCACAAATACAGGCTAAGATGACCATATGTAAGGCACGTGTCCCCTTCTTTGCAACTTTAAACACCTCCAAGATGATATCCCCCAGTGCTTGGCTAATCTTGAAGATGGTGTTGGTGGGTGTTTCACAGGGTGAAACACACGTTTCACCACCAGCACCTTCAACCAGCGATTTGTTTGCCAGTCGTGGCTCAAGAAGGTATCAAACTCCTTCACCACGGAGCTCAAGTTGTAGATCTGGGGACCAGTTTGGTACCTTGGAAATGGGCCATTGGGGAGGCAAAAATACCAACTGGAGGCACCGTGAAATCATTCGGATATAACATAAGAATACCTATCCATACACAGTGTATGCCAGTTCGTAACCATTTCTTTGTTTTACTTTTAATATCATACTATGAATCATAGGTGATAGATGCATTCTGTATGTATGTTATGTATAGTGTATACATACAATATGTGATATGTCAGACTGTCAGACATATACATTCTAACTTTGGGGAATCATAGGATATATACCGTACTTACTAAGCATTTGTCTCCTAACTGCAAGGACCACCAGAAATCTTGCCTGGTGTGTAAACAGAGCACAAACCACTCTGAAGATATTTCAAAATGTGCAATTCAGTAACCTCTCGCAAGACCTGTCCTCTATGGAAATTCTTTGCGTATTCAATCTAGCTTGTCATCCATAGAAAGGAATATGAAACCACCAGTGTTCTACATTGTTTCTAGCATCGGTGATCTTCCTAAAAAGGACTCCATGTCTGCCGCAGCGCATTGTTGTCGTCCCGGCTGTGGAGGACCAATGCCGGCCGAAGCCGCTCAAAGTCACAGCCAGGGACACGCCGCGCAGGAGCTGCGAGTCGAGTTCCGTGAGCAGCGAACCTGGGGAAAGTTGGAGGAATGCAGTTGGGATGACGAAATGATGGGTATATGATGGGTAGAACGGGGTATGGTGATTTCATGTGATTTCAGCGTAAGTTGAGACATACACACATTTTTTCGAAGTGGAACTGCATCCTCAAGTGGATTCAACCAGCCACGGAGGTTGGTGAAATCTCCATGAGTTCCCTGGTGCCGTGAACTCCCGAAAAAGGTATGGTGTGAGATCCCGTTTTTTCCAATGGTGAAACTTTCATGTTGGGAAACTCTGATTGTACCCTCTGGTAAACTAACATATCTATATATAGCTATTGAAAATTGCCAGAGTGGATTTACCCGTTAAAAATGGTGGATCTGTCCATGGTTTCGTAAACGTTTACCAGAGGGTAGCTCCAACTGGCTCCCTATTCAATAGGGAATATGATACCCATGACTCCCACCCTCCATCACTGGCAAATCGCAGTAGAACTCTCATGGCTATTTAATAAAGATCCACTATATATTTGGATTTGCTTAAGTTCCACCCCCCAATAAAAATATTACCCTCTGGTTATGACTAACAGTTTGCAATGGAAAATCACCATTTTTCCCCACCTGCCAGGTGAGGGTTGTTAGATTTTATGTCAGTTGCCTCCTCCTCCTCCTTCTCCTCCTTCTCCTCCTCCTTCTCCTCCTCCTCCTCCTCCGCCTCCTCCTGCCTCGCCCTCCTCTCCTCCTCCTCCTCGTCGTCCTCCTCGTCCTCGTCGTCCTTGCTCAACTGCGACCCGCGATCCACAGTGTTCTCTGCCGGACCTCAACCACGACCATCCACGCCCAGTGTTCCCTGCCGGACCTCAACCACGACCATCCACGCCCAATGTTGCCTGCCGGACCTCAACCACGACCATCCTCGCCCAGTGTTCCCTGCCGGACCTCAACCACGACCATCCACGCCCAGTGTTCCCTGCCGGACCTCAACCGCGAGTATCCACGCCAAGTGTTCCCTGCCGGACCTCGTGTACAAAGATAAAATGTCAGATAGAGTGCCAGAAGATTTGCCAGGTAGAATGCCAGAAAATATGCCAGAAGATATGCCAGATAGATATGCCAGAAGATATTCCAGAAGATATGCCAGATAGAATGCCAGAAGATATGTCAGAATATATGCCAGAAGATATGCCAGATAGAATGCCAGATAGAATGCCAGAAGATTTGCCAGATAGAATGCCAGAAAATATGCCAGAAGATATGCAAGATAGATATGTCAGAAGATATGCCAGAAGATATGCCAGAAGATATGCCAGAAGATATGTCAGAATATATGCCAGAAGATATGTCAGATAGAATGCCAGAAGATATGTCAGAATATATGCCAGAAGATATGCCAGATAGAATGCCAGAAGATATGTCAGATAGAGTGCCAGAAGATATGCCAGATAGAATGCCAGAAGATTTGCCAGATAGAATGCCAGAAGATATGCCAGAAGATATGCCAGATCATATGCCAGAACATATGCCAGATAGAATGTCAAATAGAATGTCAGAAGATATGTCAGATAGAATGCCAGAAGATTTGCCAGTAAGAAAATGTATAAATGTCATGGTGGGGATCACACGAAGTAAAGTAATTAATAGGTAAACCATCTATAAATGGGCCATGGCTTCCATGGCTATGTTAAATAACCAGATGGTATATAAATTTAAATATATATATATACCTGGTTGGTGGTTGACCTACCCCTCTGAAAAATATGAAAGTCAGTTGGGATGATGACATTCCCAATATATGGAAAAGTAAAAAATGTTCCAAACCACCAACCAGATACATATAGATATTGATTCCACATATCTGGTGGATTTCCCATTTCAAGAGCAAAAAATCACCTTACACAAACCCATGATGACCAGCAACCCGTCGCACTGTCACCATCTTCGCAGCTGTCGCACTTCTCCACGTCCGAGTCCTTCGTTCCCTCTGCAGGTATCGACCAAGAATCCGGATCATCAGCCATCAAACGCCCGTTGCGCTGGACACAAATTTCCGGCAGATTTCACCAGCCAATTTAAAAAAAAAAAACGGCCCTATTGAAATGATATATGACATGAACTGGGTACTGGAGTTCTGGGAAGTTAATTTGGACATATCATTTTTGCTGATTTTTTACAATCGAAACATGGGAACTGATGAGGGAGGTGTAGGAAAACATGTGCAGATCGAACTCTTTTTGTACGTGTTCTCCTTAACAAACAGGATAAGCCCAGCGACAAGCTCTTGCGATGCTCTGAGCATCTGCGTACATGTTTCTTTACTATAGCCTTCTGCTGAAACTACACGCTGGGAAGCGTTGCTAAAGCCCAAAACTCCAAATCTTCAGCTCAAGAATTGCAACCAATCCCGCAAATGTCAAAGAATCCAAGCACTCGATTGCCATCGAATTTTCGCTGTCCAACAAGCCTACAGTATCGAGGTGTCCAACAACCCGTTTCCTGTGTAGAAATACATCTTCTTTGCAGTATAGCAATCCCAAAAAAACAGAGATTTGGAAACCTGGAAATATATAAATATGAAGTCCAGGTCATTTACGGTAAGGTTATGTAAGGTTCACCGAGCTGCCATAGTGGTTTAACATGGTGATCCCTCAAGATACTCAGCACTTGGTTGCAGGTCCAGCCACCAAGTTTCAATGGTCAGATGTTTCATGATTTTAATGTTTGAATTGATTTCTATTGATCTCTTACATCTCTGATTCTATTTTTTGAACCCAAATATGTTCCAAACATGCTGATTCTTCTCATCACCATATTTCTTGCTTCCAGTGAACTCTTTGTGGCTAGATTTCACCATCGTTTTTTCGCCCCGAAAATCCCACAAGGCGGAAAACATGGTAAAAAATGGTAAAAACATGGTAAAAACATGTACCCTCTGGTAAACGTTAACAAAAAACTATGGAAAGATCCACCATTTTATAGCTGGGAAAATCCACTATTTCTATGGCCATGTTCAATAGCTACGTTAAATTACCAGAGGGTAAAAATACCATAAGTATCCATAAGTCCGACTTAGCTCTGGCCTGCACCCCCCATTAAAAGCCATGGTTAAACATCCGTTGTATCCCATTATCCTCTAGTAATTTAACATAGCCATGGAAGCCATGGCCCATAGAAATAGATGGTTTACCTATTAAAAATGGTGGATCTTTCCCTGGCTATGTTAAATAACCAGATGGTAAATCCCAAATCACAACTTGACCAAGGCACTGAGCTGAAAAAGATTCGGCCCCGCCTGACGCTTGATGGGTTTTTCTTCAGAAACATAACTGGGGGCCATCAGCTTGGGGGAAACTGGCGAAGCCAAGAATCAGCCCGAAGTTCTGGGGGTCATGGGTTTATCATCATTTCTCATGGCTTCTTTAGAAAGAAACATGGCAAGATTAGGGGTAGACCACAGCCAAAATCCAGATCATCCAGGACCGGATGCGGCTTAAGATCAATTGCCATGGTGAAATTATGGGTGAAACCATTTTGGTGGTTGAGATTTCGTAGCCACCTTTTCTGGCTGGTGGTTGACCTACCCCTCTGAAAAATGATGGAGTTCGTCCGTTGGGATGATGAACTTCCCAATATATGGAAAAATAAAAAATATTAAAAAAATGTTCCAAACCACCAACCAGTTTTAATGATGTGTTTTTGAATTTGAAGATGGTGACTATTGGCGCCGTGTGGATCCCACGTCAGAGAAAGTCTCTTTTGGAGGTGTACCTGCAGCGTTGTTGCATGACGCGGTGTGACTTTTCCATCTTTGGGGAACCCAAAAATGGAAAGCCCCTGCCTGAATGATACACTTAGGGATGTTCCCCTCATTAATCATGGTTGAATCGTGATACTTAATCATTGTCATCCACCATCATTCACCCATCTAAATAAAAATATTCCCATCATTCACCCCCATTTAACCAACCATTTAACCAACCATTTAACCCACCATTAAAGTCATTTACCCTATGAACCCATCATTCACCACCTCAAAGCCAAGCTGCGCAGGTCAAGATCCGCCCCGAAATCATCTCGCCGCCTTTGGTTAAGCGCGCCGTTCACCACACGTTTTTAATGTTCGGGCTTAAGTATGGTAAACTGGTAAACATTGGTAAACTAAAACTATAAACTATATATAGTAAGTAACTATATATAGTAAGAAGACCAGCTGTTTATTCTATCTGCTGGTTACTTACTATACTTAAATAACTTAAATTTGAAGTTCTTGCCGGATATCAACAAAAAGGAACTTCTTGGGTCGTTTAACTTGGAAGGTGAATCCCCCGTTTTCAGATGATCTACCAACTGATGAAGAATGAGTTCTACTTAAATGTCTTCAATAAACCCGATGTGTTCAATGGTTTTATATGGTGTTATCGTGTTTCATCTCTAGTTTTTCTATGTTTTTCTTGGAGAAATAAAGAAAAAAACCTCCCATGTCTGTCTCGGCTTAGTGTATAATACTTCCTCAACTGCAAGTTCAACCATTTCAGGGATGTTTGCAGTGAGGTTGTTGTCTTGTCACCTCTAATTTTCACCATACCGTGGATGGAAGAAATCCTCACATATTGGTAACTATGAATAGCTATGAAACATCATTGGATAAACCCTCTATCATTGGATAAACCCTCTATCATTGGAGAAACATCATTGAAACATCATATTGGTAAATAATAAGATTATCATTGGATAAACCCTCTACGAGCGGGTTTCTGTCCCTTATCGAAGACACCCATTGGAGCCCAGCGGCCGAAGCGATCTCGGTCTCTTCGTCGCCGGAGCCTTGCGAAGCTTAAAGGACTCCGCGTAGAGATGGCATGGCCCCAAAACTTGTAGGAAAAACAGCAAACAATCATTACTAATTGGTGGTATACCTACCCCCCTGAAAAATGATGGAGTTCGTCAGTTGGGATGATGAAATTCCCAATATATGGAAAAATAAAATTCATGTTCCAAACCACCAACCAGATTAGAACTCCAAGAAAGTCATGGAATATCTGGAGATGATGATAGCCAAGCCATTTCGTTATGGTCGGGTCTGGGTTCAATTTCTGGATTGGTTTTGGACCATGATACGTAGCCACATCTCCTAAAGTTCCTGGGAAAAGACCCAAATGGCTAGTCTCTGGTCATGTCACCATAGCTATGGAAAATCACCATTCTTGAGTTTGGCAAATCATCTACAGTACCCTCTGGTAATTTAACATAGCTATTGAAAATGACCATGTATAGATATTTATAGTGGATTTTCCCATTAAATATGGTGGATCTTTCCATAGTTATGTAAACGTTTACCAGAGGGTTTATTCCACATGGGCCATGACTTCGGTCCGCTCTTCTCCACTGGCGCCTTGGTCCAGGCGGAGAACCTCCCAACCTGCGCAACAACGCTCTCGGGGGACGATGCGATGCCAACATCACCAGCAGCATCATCAACCACGACACCATAGTAGTAGCAATAATGATTGATGACTAGGGTCGCACCATCTGAGTACATTTTTAATCATTTTTATGTGGGTAAAACAATGCCATGTTGACCATCCATTTTCCTGGGAATGGTTTATGGTTTACCACCTATAAAATGCTGTAATGACAGGGGATTTTTTAAAAAAATATGGCCTTGCACCCACATGACTCACATTATAACTGTCAGAACTCATAACTTTCACCATCGCCAGCGCCCCCCTTCGATGCCCCGGCTTTGCCAACAGATCCAATTCCACCATGAGCGTCGCGACGTCTAAGGCCACTGTCTGGCAGCTGGACGTCTCCGAGAATGGGAGAAAAAAACCAAGTTCTGCCAGGGTGTTTATAGAAAAAAATATCGGAAACCCCGAAAAAATCGAGAAAAAGTGGTATTTATCATGAGAAATCATGGAATATCATATTCCATAATTGGAATAACAACCGTTATAACTTATAACCATTGGGTGGTTTATTATGGGGGGATGGGACCACCAAGTATCAATGGGAACTCGAAACCGCCAATTGCAATAAATAGTCCAGTATATTCCAGCAACATTATGCGTGGATAATCTGTTAAGCCAAATAATGATTCAGAATTCGTTAACATATCCCAACTCTAGTTAGATTTGGCAGTCCGGTCCAGTAAATATCATGCTGCACTGCTCCCCCTACATTCCAATTCAACGTTCATTGATTGTCCCAGCTAATTATAAACCTCCAAATAGTTTGGAGATTTGCCGCTGGCTTTGTGGGTAGAGTAAATATCATCCAAATATCATCCACTTCATGGCAGTGTGTCAAAACCTTGTACCCCTGGTGAACATCAAAATAGCTGGTAAATGGATGTTCATCCCACTAAAAATGGTATTAATAGGTATTGATCCATAGCCATATCATCCACTTCATCCAGCTTTGCAAAACCCGAAGCACCACTTCGACCTTCTTCAGCAAGGCTTGTAAAACTCCTGGCCTCCAAGCTCCGGCAGATGGTCGCGCAAAGGGTGAACATCATTCAGATATAAATGATATATGTATATATAATTTTAGATATTTATATATTTATACATACATATATTTATATTTATATTATTTTATATTGTTAGATTGTTGGGATACAACTAACATCAACTATATAATCAGTTTGAGTTTGATATGTGGATTTGGTACCTGAGAATAGGGCATCTACCGTCAAAATTAATGGCCACTTGAATCCGAAAAAAACGTCGAAACAGGATGATGAACCAATCGATCTGGGACCCAAACTTTGAACTTTAGAAACCTGTGGGTCTCCTATCATTTCTCAAAATATATCAAAATAGGAGGCCTTATTCGTCAAAATTGTCAACCTTGATGCTTTCCAGGGCATTTGTCAAAATATATCAAAATTAGTATGACTGCATGTGAGCCATAATATTTGAGCCATTGATTGACTTGGTGTATGTTGAGGTACTGTACCTACAGTATGTTGGATGACGTTGACGCGTCCCGAGGTTTCCGTTTCACTGAAAATCGACCAGAATTGTGTCCTATAGCCATGTCATTTTAGGCAGTGGCCTTTTGAATTGAAAAGCACCATCTTCCACTCGCAACCATAGCATTGTCACGGATTCGCGTTTGGCTTCACCAAAGAAATATTCGGATGCAGCTCACATCATGCTTTCCAGCTGGGAGGTTGGATCCCAGCAGTAAGTGCCGGCTGGATGGGAAATGGGTTGTGATCCTGTTTCCTGGTGATGGCGCGTGGAAGGCTATTGGTTGATTGACCTGTTGAAAATGGCCAATATGGCTGGCTACCCTCCAATAAACTCACAGTTCGCTATGGAAGCCATGGCCAAGTATAGATGATTTACCTACAAAACATGGTGATTTTCGATAGCTATGTAAACGTTTATCAAACAGTAATAGACAATGCTGGCTCATAGGCACTGGAACACAACCATTGGATGTTAGGTGTGGAACATCTTCAGACATATGTTGCACGCATATGTATACAGAAACACACATCAAAGGTAATGCAAGTAGATCTACAAATGATCTGGAGTTGGTCTGGTTGTCTAAATTCCAAATGAATAATAACTATACATTTCCATATCATTCAATTCTTATCATATCACCATATATCACCATACATCACCATATTGAGGTGTCCATTTTATGGATGGGATCCCAAATCATCCTTTAGATCATTGTAGCATTGAAGCTTTCAAGGCGTTTTTTGGGGATCCCCCTTTTTTGTGTTGTCCAAAAACCCTCCCATCCCTTTCCCACCCAGCCTATAGAGTCGAGTTCCAGACGAGGCATCACCCAAAAGGCAGGTCTCAGTGCGGAGGCCGGTCAACCGGTCACAGCCGGTGCTTCGAGGCGAAGCCAAAACGATGATCAACTCATGAAGTTTTAACTTTTTATGGCAAGATTTCCGCCCCCAAAAAATAGAAACGTGAATCTTCACCACTTAAATGGGTCTATATTTCTTGAATTCTATCTTTTGGGGGGATGACGACATCATTTCTGTCCAGAATTCTCAGAGAAAAAATGGGGACTCAACCAACAAAGATGGGGATTGAACCATTATTTAAGCCCAGCCATGCTACTGTAAGACTTGGCCGACTGAGTTCCTTTGTTCAGCCTGGAGGTCTCTGATGATGTAACGCGGAATTTTCCGAAACGCTGACAAAGGGTTTTTTTCGATGTGTGATATCGATAGATCCCAGTTACAAGTGAATGGGCCCCACTTGCTGAGCTGGCGCTAACCACTACTTCGGATAATAGTTGGGTTCAGGGTGGGTATACCAATCCATATTTGGATGGGTGAAGTACACCAACTGATACCTGGGAGCACCACGTAATACTGGTGATGTGGAGTGCCATACAGCCCTGTCATTTGGGTCAAACATCCAAAAAGATGTTAGCCATGGCCATATCTGGCATATTTCACATGTGGTATGACTCCCAGATGGCTATTAGCCTGCACTCAAAACTCTTGGGGTCACCAAAATTTCAGCATTGTAACGATGTCACTCTCCAAGCTGCTCGGCCGGAAAAAAAAAAAACGGGCCACCCATGCTCCATCCTCCGGGGTCAGGGGACCTTGTGCAGTGAGGTGAGGTGGGCGCGAGACCGCTCGCGAACCCCACTAGATGCTACTTACCCTCTGGTTATGACTAACAGTTCGCCATGGTTAAGCCATGGCCCATTGATTTATAGATGGTTTACCGAACTCAATAGCATGGTGGATCTTTCCATGGCGAGCTGTGACAAATAACCAGATGGTAACTGCCAAGAAACATGTTCTGTAGCGAGATATATCAAGTACCATCTGGTTATGACTAACAGTTCGCCATGGAAAATCACCATTTTTCATAGGTATAAACCATCTATTTCTATGGGCCATCTATACCATGGCGAACTGTTAGTCATAACCAGAGGGTACCCCCACCTTGAAGAGTGCCATGGGCCAAGTAACGGTACTGCACTTTGTAAAAGCCTCAGGAACGCAACGAACCCACGGTGGTTAAGAGGGGAGACGGCGAATTTTGTGAACTTCAGATATGTACCTCCTAAAACCAGCGTAGCTATACATAGCTATACAATTCATTACAATTCTATATGGTATATGCCCAATGGAATCCATATGTATGTAATGTAGATTAGAATTTGATGTCAAAATAAATGTGGGGACACATGCATGTAATCATGATTTGTCATATGTTTTTGTCACGATGGGGGATCACGCAAAGTAAATGTTGAAAATATTGATCAACACTTATGGACCTATCGGGTTTCCATAAATGGGGTCCCCAATAGCTGGATAGGTTACAAGGGAAAATCCGTTTCTAACATGGATGATAACTGGGGGTAGCCCTATGACTTAGGTTTTCGCCCAATGTTACACTGTATACTGGTTGGTGGTTTCAACCCCTCTGAAAAATATGAAAGTCAGTTGGCATGATTATTCCCAATATATGGAAAAAAAATGTTCCAAACCACCAACCAGTTTAAGTCCCCATGCTTGTTGGTTTTCTCAACCCATCAACCCAGCCATCCGTCCAGAAACGGTACTTGATGCTGCGTGCCGTCCAGGCCGGCCGGCCGTCTTCGCCTGTGAAGGGCAACTGTTTTTGGCCAAGAGTTTTTGGGGAGTGAAAAAAAGGAAGGACGTGAGAAATGGATAGAAATGGCTCAGATTCTAGGAATTCGGAATCTAGAAAAGTCAGCTTGTAATGGGTAGCAATCTAGGGGGAGGCAAAATGCAACCCAACCATATTTTTACATTTCCGTCATGTATCAATACCCATCAGCCGCCGTCATTACGATGGGAATGGAAATATCCATCTTATCATTGATGGTGATTGTATCGATACTCATCTATCCATCCATCCATCATCTATCCATCATTTCACTTACCATCTGGTTATGACTAACAGTTCGCCATGGAAAATCACCATTTTTAAGTTCGGTACACCATCTATTTCTATGGGCCATCTATACCATGGCGAACTGTTAGTCATAACCAGAGGGTAACCCCTGAACACCCAACCACCCGTGCACACCTCGCGCAGCGCTGCCCGCCGCCATCGCTTCAGGGCCTTCAGGGTGCCGCCGAAGCAGAGCTGTGCGCAGCGCCTCGCGACGCGGAACTGGATGGGGGATGGATGATGCATAGAATATGATGAGTGACGGTGTATGCAACTAGACTATATATATACAATTGTATACACATATACTAGTAGTATGTCAATAGTATATGTAAAAACAAAAAAACGCAGAAACATCATCACACATGGTCAAAGATGCGGATCAAAATGAGGCCAACAGCCGCAACACGAGGGTGGTCGGGTGGCCAAGGGTGGCCATGTTTAGGTCAGCTTGATGGTCTCTTGATTTGGTCATATTTGGTCTCCCATTCTGAAGTTTTTTCACCCCGAAAAAAATACCCGGCCTCGTAAACGTTTACAAAAAACGAACTGGAAAGATCCACCATGCTATTAATGGGAAAATCAACTATTTCTATGACCATTTTAACCATAGCTTTTTGTTTGTTTACCAGAGGAGAAGGTCAATCATATCACAACTCCCAGGAGTTTCAAACATGTACCACTTTTAGAATCTGAAAAAAATCATCCTCGGAGATTCCTCAGTCATGGTGGACCCGGTTGCAGCCACCATTTTGGCTTGCGCCCCTCCTGCACAAAGCCCAGGTCTACGGCCGCAGCATCCACTGCAAAGGGGCTCACGAAGAGGATCTGTTGGGAAAATGTGCGGTGACTGGGGTACCAAGCTCAACTGATTTGGGGAGAATATTGGGAAATTATAGATGTATACATCTTGTATGGATACAATGGGATATATAACTGGGATATAATGGGATATACATGATGAATCATAATGGGATATGATGGGATGTATAGCCTAGCCAACAACATGAGTTGTCTGAAAACGGGGGGCTGGCCCCCCATGGCTTTTTGAATGGGGAAAATCTAAGGTTTCACTGTGGGGGTGGCCGGGGTGACCTGTTGATGCGGAAAATTGAAATGTGATTGGGAAAATGATGATCAATCATGAGATTTTGGGGTATTCTATGTTCAGACAAACCCAAAGTTTGAAAGGATGCGGTTTGAAGAGCTCTTATGAAAGGAGTCCGTTCTCTTCTGATGATGGATGGACTGGGAAGTATCTTCAAAACAATGCAAGTGCCAATTACACTGGCGATGTCTGCATTTAGTTGCGATGGGGATATAGGCAGCATTCCTCCAGGCTAGGGTACCACATGACCACTTCGCGCCTGTAAGTTGAAATATGTTAAAACCCTTCAAGACTTGCATCTAACCTGGACAAGTTGGATTCCAAGCCTAGTGGTCGGTTGTGACACAAGACAACCAGAACAGCATCTTCCCAACTCACAGTTGGACCCTGCCATGTGGATTGGTAGACCACCTTCCAAGCTGAGTGGGGACCGGATGGTGTGCGCACCCACTGGTCTGGAGCTGAAAGGCGATTTGCTGCGCTGCGCAAGCGATGAGCCTGGTGCCAGTTGCTGAGATACAGCAATTCAATCCGATTCATCATGGTTCAAACACCAACTAATCAAAAAAATCAAATAAAACAAAAAAAAATATTCCCCAGCAATGTTTGATTCGCCAATTGAATAGCAACAAGATGCAACAAGAATCAAAGTACCCTCCGATGTCGAACCTGGCTAGCTGCGAAATCCGCCCACGAAATAGAGGTTTCTAGCTGGGAAAATCACTATGATCCCACTCTGATCCCTATTTAACAATATTGGAGGGGGTTCCTAAGTCATGGGGAACTAGCCCCAAATCATCCAAATCATCCCCCAGTCATCCAAAATTGGACCATGACTTAGTCCTTGAAACCTCATGGTGACTTGGGGATCAGGCAAATATTTGCGTTGAGGCCGCTTGAGACGCAGCCAAGGGACACAGTTCTCCAGAGACTCTTGGAAGACACTTCCCAGGAACCTGCTGATGGAGCGAACTGGAACTGGAAATAGCTTAGTTGTAAACCTGGAGGCTTTTGGGGGGAAACATCCGAAAAGTCTCTGGGACATAACTTCTTCTGCATCGTTTTCAGATAATTTTACAACTATTGTAGTAGGATTGTAGACTAAAGGGTTACTACATGTTACTACAATCCTTGCAGGAAATTCGTATCTTCCAATTCCCCAACTCTCTGGCATCCATGTCATTTCGAAGTGCTTTCACAATTCCCAACTCCTTCCCATGGCAAACGTATTAACCGTAGATATATCATGATATACCCACTGATGTCATTTTTAACTGGGTGTCTTTTCCTCCATTTATCGTTGCTGGTTAACTCACTATCGATTTCATGATGGCTAAACTCATGATGGTTAACCCCCCAATGATGGCTAAACCCAAGCAATCTACCCCAATCAGGTGGTGAAAACCAATCCCGCGACTTACCTTTAGTACCCTCCAAAAAAAGATAGAAAAAGGTTATGGGTGATGTTTCCTCCGTACTTTCCAGGTTTTAAACGGTTCTATCTTTTAAGGTGGTCGCGGTAATCGCAAACTTTCGCAGTTTTCTCCCTGGGAGGAGCTGCGAGCCGAGCACTGCGAGGATGGGACTTGAAAGCAGCGACACCACACAGTGAGTTCTTCACTGACCACTGTTGTAACTGGTGAATAAGCAGCAATTTTTGGATAAACCATGGCGGAATCAACAAACATGGATGAAAATGATGGGCGATATCAAGGAATCTTGGGAACAGAACTACCAGCAGTGACTGACCCCAGGGGTCTGCATGGTGCCCCATCACCATCCGCACCGCGCCAGGGGCGACTTTGGAATGGCCGTTTTCACGCTTTGGACATGGATGACGATACTCATGGTGATACCTTGTCAATTGATCTTGGATTTGGGATCCAGGAACCCTCAAGAAAAAACATGTTCGCTTCATGGTACGATGCCTCACAAAACTACCATGGAACCTGTACAAAAAACTGTGATGGAAAATGGTGTTGGAAAATGAATCATGGGTTGGAAGTAGTTGTAGCCATATGTGTTTTCCATGCCTTGCTTTCTACGGATCAATTACGTTCATTCCTACATGTGGGTCGTTGGCTCGTCTTGAATCTATTGCGTCAACAGGTTTCAACTCTGCATCAAAAAAGGGAATCATCCCCTCAGATTATCTTCAGCTCAGTTGTTTCATCCCCTCCATTTGTTGCAAGTCATCCATAGAGTCGACATCCGGGGGCCCGGTTGCCGTTTGGCACACCGGACATCTTCGGCCGCACTAGCGAGAGGATGGGTCCAACTAAGGGATTTGTGAGGGGATTTCTGGGTGACAAGCTTCCTTTTAAAGGTGAGGCGGCCGTTCATGATCCGCATTTAAAATCATTTTTTCTTGATACTGTGAAATTCACGAAGTGTTCAGCCATTTGTCTGGATCTCTGGGTCCAGAGTGAATCCTGCTATCAACGTTTTATGGAAACCACCAACCAATGATTGGCGACAGCTAAGTCCATCTAACTTCCCCTTTTCTATTCTACTCCCTCGTGTTTTGGACAGGGATTTCTTGCCATAGACCCTCCAATCCCATGATTCCCATGTTCACCCAAACTCATCCTGTGGTGAAACGACACGAAAATCCGCCAGTGGAGAGTACTCATCCCACGAAAAACCTCATCTGGACAATCCAGAATCTATCATAATATATATATATATAGAATTATATATAAATATAATTGTATATAACTGTATATATATATATAATTGTATGTATGAATTAGAGGCAACGCTCGGTCTTCAGCTCTCCATCCCTCCGCATCTCAGGCTGTCAGCACTTTACTGAAGCCTTGCATGGCTTCAGCCACAATGACCTGCAGATATCCTCGGTCCCAAGCCCTAAAAAAAGACAAAAATCCCAAGGATTCAGACCCCATTTTATCCCATTTTTATAGATGAAAAATGGTCCCAAATATGAATCCCAAGGTTTCTGTGGGCTGTTCAATTTTTTTAAAGATTATATAGATTTCTATCGGGGGATTCTCTGTAGAAGTGTTGAAACGATTCTCAGCCGGTGTCTCATATTTATCTTCCAGGAAAAAACAATCCTAAGGAGTGAAGATCAACCATAGATCATAATCAAGCATGATCAAACATAATCCATGAATATATGAATAAATCCACCCGATTAATCATCGCCGATCATCATCAATCAATCCATTTATAAAACCCTTTATAATCAACCACAATCAGCAAGGCCTTAACCCACCCATTCACCATGATCAATCACTATGAGCATGATCAATGATGAATGATGAGTCATGGCTGGAAATCATCCATAATCCACTTAATCAACCCAGGTTGATCATCATGGATCATCAGAAAATCCTCTTTAAAAAAAAAAAAAAAACGCCATGATAGAACCAACATCACACCAGTTGGCTTGGGTCCAGCGGGCCCAGGGACATGTTCAGACCCAGTTCACCATTGTTTTCTCATCACCAGAAAATCGGTAGTAAGAGTTTTTTGTGGATACTACAACTATATCATACTATATCCACTACTATAGCTTCATAGTTTAGGATTCTAGGCTTTTTGATGCAGCACTTAAAACCTACCCTCTGGTAATTTAACGTAGCTATTGAAAATGGCCATTTATAGTGAGTTTTCCCATTAAAAATGGTGATTTTCCACAGCTATGTTAGTTTACCAGAGGGTATACCACTTTCTTTCCAGTCGCTTTTTTCGAACCTCGGAAGCCGCGGCCCAGGCACGAGCCAAGTTCACGAACTCCTCCACGCCCATTCGCCCGCGACCCTCAACGAGGGTGTCCTCACAGGCGATCGGACCGTTTCAATGGCGCACTTCCAGGGATTCGTTCAGTGTTTGGAATGGATAATGAGTCATATGGGGATGGGTCAAAACCCTGGTACCCCTGTAGTTCACATCAAAATAGCTGGGATTTATGGATGTTCATCCCACTAAAATATGGTATCTATAGGTATTGATCCATACCCATATGAGCTTTCATATATATCTGGGGATCCTGGGTATATCTGGTCATATTGCTGAGAAATATCTCAAATATCTGGGGGATATGTGAAAATCTCTGAGGATATCTCTGAGGATATCTGTGGATTTGTTTCCATCTCTGATCAATGGGAATTTCAGGATCCAACAGATGGAGGTACGTAAACGTACCGTATTGTTGGCCATCTTTTGCGGGGATATTCCCTTACATAGGCCAAAAAAAAATAGGCCTTATAGATGGTAAGTACCTCCAAGTTAGGTTCCTGAAATTTCCCATTGATCTGAGACCAAGTCTAAGAGTTGAGGATGAATGGCGATTCGTTCGCGATTTGGATCCATCCAATCGATCTAGTGTCAGTGATAATCACTACTCAATTGACCAAATCAAGTTACCAAGTTGATTGAATAAGTCACTCATAATAAGCTACATACTGAATATCAGTATAAAATCTGGATCAAGTAGTGATAAAATATGATAAATGGATATAATATCAATATTATTTGTTGTTGATTGATCTATATAAATATCAATAAATCTGGATCAATCGCATCAAGTGTCAGTTCAACTCACAGGAGCAAAAAAACCTGCTGCTGGGGATGCTGGGGATGCCGCGCGCTGGTCACGCTGGTCGTGGTGCTCTGCTGTAGCAGGGACAACCCTAAAGTGATTTTACAGCAAAGAATCATGGTCTATGGATTTTCTCATGAAAAAAATATACCATTTGGATTTTCTCAAATGGTGTTTTCATGTTCATTGATTTAATCATCACCCATTTGCACAGACGCGAAAAGAGGAAGCGTTCCCTTCGTCACATCCGCCAAGCATCGTGCGCATCGAAGGCTAAACGAACTTCCTCGACTGGGGATGTCTCTAAGATGATAATGATACCCTCTGGTATACTAACATAGCTATGGAAAATTGCCATTTATAGTGGATTTACCCATTAAAAATGGTGATTTTCCATGGCTATGTTAGTATACCAGAGGGTAAACATGGATAACCAGCTTAAAGTGTGGCGATAGTTTGCTGGTGCACCATTTTGGTACTAATATCTGTCAACAGTTGTGGTTCCCCACAGATTCACCACAGAAATCCAAGTTGAACCTGTTGTGACACATGGGATGGTGGGATACCCACATTGCCCGGGCAACACAGTCGGCTGGGTGGAGATATCTGTTGGGTCAAAGTAAACCAACTGACTCATCCTTTAGATTCTAAAATGATATATACATCATGATGTCTCCAGCATAAAGCCCACATTTTCGAGATTTACCTTCCGGTAATCAAACTCTACAACATATGGAAAATCCCATATCAGATGATTTTCCCAGCTATAAAACCTCTATTTATGGAGGGATTTTCCAGCTAGCCATGTTTGAGGACACGGTACAGCGGGTCCACCAATATCCTATGATTATACCATTGTTATCCCAATATTATCCCTATTAAATCTATTAAACCATATTCCAACCCATCTTAAACCCAGCATTTCATCATGATTCTGCATGATTTTCCCCTTTAAACCCTCTATTTATACGGGAAAATCCATAGTTTTCAGGGATTTTCCAGTCATCTTTGAGGACGGCCGAGCGTCGTCCCGCGTGGGGCCGGGTGCTTTGGTCAAATCCGCTGCGCAGCTCAGGGATTTGCAGATCAGGGCCTTGGCTTCCTCGAAGCTCACCTCAGGGCTGGTGTTGTGTTGGGCTTGGGGGGTTAGATTCACTTGTCTGGGTAAATGAAATAATAATTCACTAACCTGAATAGTTCGGCCATAAACGGGGATGATTCCTCTTATTAACCATGATTCCAGGGTTCGGGAGAACAGTGAGGTCGCAACATAATTTACCCAGACTTGTTGAACTTGATATGTATATAGAGATATTGAGATATTAATTATATATGATAATAACAACAAGAAGAATAACAACAATAATAATATGGAATAACGGAATAACCATAGTTATTAGAGGTATATGTAATAACCAGAGTTCTAATGGAGTTATACATATATATATACATATTATGTGTAATAATAGTTGCTAGATATATATATATATTATGCATATGTCATAACCATATTTACTAGGGTTATAGTATGTTATAGTTGTGATTCCCAACTTAGCTATCCTCGTATTTCCTGCAACTTAGCTGGTGCCCACCCGAGAATAAACCATCCAATGTTACATCCTAAATAGTGGTATACCCAATAGTGAACCTCCAATTCTTCCAACAACTCACCTCAATATGGGATGGTTTATTCTTGTTACAATGTCTTAAATGTCTCATCCCATAATTATCCATTCTTATCCCACTATTATTCTATATAGTCTACCCTCTGGTTATTTAACATCATGGAGAATGTTCCACCCTATAGATGGTTTACCGTTCCAAAAATAATCTTAATAGCATGGTGATTTTTTTCCATGGCTTGCCCTTAGTTAGTTGGTCATAACCAGACGCCAAAAATTTCCCAAGATATCTGGGGATGATCATCAATGTCATCATCCCAATGCCATCACCAAACGACTCTGCCATCTTGGTCCTGGTCCACTTGCACGAACATCTTGCTCCTAGCGGAACGCGGAACTGGGGGAAAACACCATGGGTTTTGTGCGACTGGGAGAAGCCATGGTCGTGCCAGGCTGTTGAGGATCATGACAATCCGATCTATTCTGATTTTTCGTAAGATCGGATAAGATAGGAAAAGGAAAAGTCATATTCAATCTTCTTGATTTCGCCATCTTTCTTCCTGAAAAAATCTAGGAAGATGGTACTGTAGATTGAAAATTCTGGGAGAAAGGTGCTGTGCCAAGTTTTCCTAACTTGATATGCCTGGTGGCAGGGACGCTTTTCAGAATTTCATCCTTGCCCTTCACTTCCCTGCACACCTCACATGGTCGATGTATTGCTCAGATTTCAATCGCTTTTCCTGAGCGAAATTTCAGCAGAGACGGATATGGGTCACATGGGTCACCGGGTCAAGTCATTGAGTACGAAATCAGCAGTTCGCCATGGAAAGATCCACCATGCTATTTTTGTTCGGTACACCATCTATTTAACTATGGGCCATGGCTTAACCATGGCGAACTGTGACAGTCATAACCAGAGGGTATAACAATGTTCATGATTTATGTTGATGTAACCAACAAGAATTGGCACTCAATCACCAAAAACCAGGCAAACATCCGAAAGGAATGGGCTGGTACGAAGGCCCAGTCTCCTGTGCCATCTGTCGCAAAATGGCGGCCGATGTCATTACCCTCTGGTAAACGTTTACAAAAAACGATGGTTAAAATCACCATTTTCAATGGGAAAATCCACTATTTCGTCATTTTCAGTAGCTATGGCTATGTATGTTTACCAGAGGGCATCCCTTGGCCCGAAACCCTGAAGCCCTGTTTGTTACTGGATCATATTGGATCGATTCTGGTGCAAGTTGCTTATAGGGAAAGTATGGTTTCAGGGCAAAAAATTAAAAAAAATCCAGGCTCAAGTAACATTGCATGAGGCCAAAATACAATCATTCACCTACCTTACCTAAAGTCTTGTTTGGAAAAGTTATCCCGATCGTAAGCATCATTCCAGAATTGCATCGCGATTGCGTGAGGTCGCACCATCATTTACCCAGATTTATCACATTCCCATTTATTAGCCAGTAAAAATCCCCAAGAATATCTCAAATTACTCATGGTCCTATGGTTTGCATCTGATACCATCAATTACTCGTGGTTTGCATCTGATACCCTCTGGTGTTTTGACATAGCTATAGAAAATCACCCGTTTTAAGAGACAAATCATCAAACCAGCCATGGGCCATGGCGTCCATAGCCATGTGAAATTACTGTAGGGTTCTCTCTGGTAATCAAACGTGGCAATTGAGGAATCCTAGTTTTCATGGGCTAAGTTCATCATTGGAAATGTCCATCAATCCTAGTTTTAATATACCATCTGGTTGTGACTAACAGTTCGCCATGGAAAGATCCACCATGCTAATAAGTTCGGTCAACCATCTATTTCTATGGGCCATGGCTTAACCATGGTGAACTGTTAGTCATAACCAGAGGGTAAATGAATTTGGATTGCTGGGTTTTGAAAATAATTAGATTGATGGATGGTTTGATGGTTGGATGGATGGGGGATGGATGGGGACTCATAGAAATAGAGGTATGGTATATACCCTCTTTCACTCTATACCATGATTTAATGGAGGCTTTCATGGGAAAATGTCGAACATCTTCCACCAAGGATCCACCTCATCCCAGTAGCACGCCACCTTATCAGCCGGCCACATCCTCAATGGGACGCAAAAAAACGAGCCCCTGGAGAAAATCTCTCAGCCCCTGGAGATGACATGGAGATGTTATGCAAATGTTATGGAATTCTTATGGAAATTTTTCAGAAGGAGATGATAATTGAGATGATTCGGCCCTAAAAACCACTTCTAATCAGCATTGAATTCTCCTATCTTTGACAGTTGAAACCCCATGAAAATCATTGATTGTCATAAACATGGTTCTTTCCTATTTTAGATAGTGAAAACGCCATAGTCACCATCCATAAAACTCACCATCATTCATGGTGAACAAAAAAAGGGCCGTCCTGCAGGCGTTCTCCCTGGCTTTTCGGATGGTTTCCTGAAAACGAACGGAAGCCAGAACGGATGGCAAATGAGCATATGATGATATTCTATCATATATATATATATATCATATATATATATATACACATCATATATATATATATATCATATATATATAGATATCATATATATATATCATATATATATAGATATCATATATATATATCATATATATAGATATCATATATATATATCATATATATATACATATCATATATATATATCATATATATAAATATCATATATATATATATATATATCATATATATATATCATATATATATCATATATTTTTTTCATATCATATATATATATATATCATATATATATAGATATCATATATATATATCATATATATATCATATATATAAATATCATATATATATATATATATCATATATATATATATCATATATATATCATATATTTTTTTCATATCATATATATATATCATATATATATAGATATCATATATATATCATATATATAGATATCATATATATATATATCATATATATATATATATACATCATATATATAGATATCATATATATATATCATATATATATATATATATCATATATATATATCATAGATATATATATATCATATATTTAATATATATATATATCTCATATATATATCATATATATATCATATATATATCATATATATATCATATATATATCATATATATATCATATATATATCATATATATATCATATATATATATAGGTATCATATATATATATATATCATATATATATATCATATATATATATATATCATATATATATAGGTATCATATATATATATCATATATATATATATCATATATATATATACATCATATATATAGATATCATATATATATATCATATATATATATATCATATATATATCATATCTTTATATATATACATATCATATATATATCATATATATAGATATCATATATATATATATATATCATATATATATATATCATATATATATTTATATCATATATATATATATATCATATATATATATATAGATATCATATATATATATCATATATATATATATAGATATCATATATATATATATCATATATATATATAGGTCTTGTTTTTGTGCACACGTGACTGCTTCCTTTCATACAGGATTGTCTTCACCGCAGGGACCATTTGTTCAAGGACAAAAGAGCCCGCATGTGTTGCGCCCCTGGGACGGGGTGGGAGCTCCGCAATTGGTAGCGAGAGCCTGACCGTCAGGTTGGGCTCAAGCCATGTTGGTTTGAGCGGTTGAGCTCTCTAGGAAGAGAGTGGTTGCACACGTGACTAGGATCCAGGAGGATGTCTGTCCCAGAAACTGCTGGATCACTCCGGTATTTTCCGGGGAAAATGAAGATGGTCGTGAATACAAGAGATGGAAGACATGGGCCCAAAATAAACTGCTCACGATGGACAAACTCCCAGAAACATCTCATGGTGCCTTCATCTACACGCTACTCAGTGGCCGTGCGTTGGAGACGGTGGAACACTTGGAACCAGGTGACTATCAGAAGAAGGAGGGCGACAAAGTGTTGTGGGATCTCCTCGACAAAAGGTTCCCACAGAAGGATACTGTAGATGAATTAGCTGAGATTTTGGGAGAAGTTTTCACGCTGCAGTCAAAGGATGGTGAAACGATGAAACAATGGGTGGCTAGGTCTTCGGAACTGCTGGACCGTTGTTTTAGGAAAACTGGCGTCCAATTTCCGGACGAAGCCAGAGGCTGGCTCCTGCTCAACCGAGCAGGGTTGAGCGAAGAACAGCGTGCTGTTGTGATCTCGAGGGCACAAGGCAGTCTCAAGAGGGACGCCATTTCAGCAGCCTTGAGATCATGTTACCCAGAGCTCATCATCAGTCGTGGGCGGAAGTCGGTGGCGCTTGTTGATGAGGCGTTGGCCGTCGATGCCGGACTACCAGATGATGTGCCAATCGAGACTGAATTTGACGACGTGGATGCCTTGTTGCAAGACCACCAGGTGAGTTTAGAAGATCAGGCATCAGATGACATCTTCGCTGAGCAAGATGTAGCGGAGGTCCTTGCTGCTAGCTGGAAAGAGAAACGCATGGAGCTGTCCAAACTCAGCAAATCTAGACAGTTCACTCGAGCACGAGAGTCAAAGCGTTCCTTCAGAATTGAAGTTGAGGAGCTGAAGAAACGCACTACTTGTCATTAGTGCGGTAAGAAGGGTCACTGGAGTCGTGAGTGTAGGTCGCAAACTGGCTCAAAAGGGTCTGGTCGTGGCCATGATAGCCAAGCGTCCTCAACAGCCTCAGGTGCCGCAGTGGTGGAATCTCAACAGCTGGATTTTGTGGCATCAGTGGAATCTCCATTGTCTCTTTTGGATCGTATGCGACTGTTTCTAGATGGCCGTCAGACAGAACAACCAGTTCCAGTCTGCTTAGTTTCCAGTCCAGGTTTTGGTGTGCTGGACAGTGGCTGTGGACGCACCATCATCGGTGCTCACACACTGAGTGAGTTTGAGAAGCTTACCTCTGCCTCCATTGAGCGTTTCTCAGAGCTGCATCAGTTCAAATTTGGAAATGGCAATGTGGAGACCTCCAAGGTCAGTGTTCAAATTCCAGTAGTGCTTGCTGGACGTCGGGGATGTATCAGGGCAGCAGTGATCAAAGGCGCTGCTCCCCTGCTGATCTCTCGGATGGCCTTGAAGAATCTCAACGCCTCCATTGATTTTGGAAAGGACTGCCTCACAGTGTTTGGCGATCAACAGGTGCCACTGATTACAAATGAAGCTGGTCAGTATATGGTGAACTTGCTGGAGCCGCCTTGCGCTCAAGATGTAGGTGACTCATCCTTTGCCGAAGTCATGATGTCCGAGTCCGATCACGTCAGTCCATGTCCCCCAGATGCCGACGCCAGCCTGTCTATGCCTGAGCCTGAGGCCGGTCTGTCGGTCGAACAGCCGATGTCTCTCCCATGTCATGTCTGGTCCCAAGAACATGTTGGTGTGACTCACGTTCCGTCCATCAGTGTCCAGGGTCCCAAATGGAAGGCTGTCAGGTATAGGGTAGTTCGAGATGCCGACAGTTTGATTGTTTTGGATGAACAGCGTTTTGTGCATAAAGTTCCACAGGGTCAGACTCTCGAACAGATTTCAACACAGCCTCGAAATGTTATCGTAGAGTTCTTTTACGAAGGAGAGCCCGTTGAAGAGCCAGTTGCACAGGCGACGCCACCACTTGATGCCGATACCATCCAGGACAGCACAGGTAAGCTGTCTGCTCACCAGTCCCGTCAGCTACGGGGCCAGATCGAGTCCGCTGTTGATCAAGTAGATGTGCAGACTCATACTCGATGTGTTGTCATGGAAGTGTTTTCTCCCCCAAGGTTCACTGAAGCTGTAGGGAAGGTTGGACCCATGGGTCGATCTTATGATATCACCACTGGTTGCGACCTGTCACAACCGGCCTCCAGGAAACAAGTCGAAGATGATCTGGATCGACTTCAACCCGATCTATTGGTGTTGTGCCCTCCATGCACTGATGAGAGTGGATGGTTTCACCTTAACAGCCTTAAGTGGGATAAGTGGGAATACCTCCGACGTAAAGCTCTTAGTCGTAGTTTCATTCGGTGGTGTTGCAAGCTGTTTCATAAACAAGCCAAAGCTGGTAGACAGGCCATGTTTGAACATCCACTGCCTGCAGAAACATGGACGTATCCCGAAGTTCAAAGACTGCGTCGCATGCACCACACTGTCAAACTGCACATGTGCCGTTACAATCTCAGGTTGCCCCGAAGTGACAAGCTGATTCGCAAGGGCACCAGACTGATTGTCACTCATGAGAGCATGAAAGAGCTTGCCAAGCAATGCCCAGGGTCTTCAGATCCCAAGCATGAGTGCCATGAAACTATTCAGGGTAGTCGCCCAGGAATTGGAAACGTCAGCAGTTTTTGTGCCAGGTATACTCCTGAGTTTGTACATGCAGTTTTGAACACAGTTCCGTCCTATCAATTGGTTTCTCATGAGTGTCATTGCGTAGAAGTCCTGGAAGTCGAACAGCTGAGCTGTCCTGACTATGAAGTGCTAGCTGCGGCCGAGACCGAACGCCTAGCATCCGATGCGGATGTGCTGCAAGTTCTCATGCGTTTGCACAAGAACCTAGGACATCCACCTAACCATGACTTGGTTCGGATTCTTAAGAATAGCCAGGCCAGTGAAAGGTCGATTCGTCTTGCCAGAGATTTGTCATGCAGCTTGTGCAAGAGTATGAGCCAGCCCCGTGTAGCATTGCCTGCGCAGTCCCAGCGCATTACCGAATTCAATCAGCAGATCGGTATGGACGTCAAATTGTTGCAGGGATGGTGCACCAATCAGAAGGTGAAAGCTCTTAACATCGTTGACACTGCAAGCGGATTTCAGCGTATGATTCCTTTCTTTGAAACTGAGACATCATCCCTCCTGAGACGCCTTCTTGAAGATCACTGGATAGCTTGGGCTGGTCCACCAAGTGAGATCATACTTGATCCTGCTCAGACAAATTTGGGTGATCCCATGATTTCACCTGCTGAAATGCAGGGAACAAATGTTCGTCCAATAGCGGCTGATGCTCACTGGCAGCTTGGTAAGACCGAGTCACATGGTGGTTGGTTCAGTCGT